CCATATGTTATTGAAAATAACACAACATTTCGGCTGTAAATATGGCCCAATGAGTAAATAATATTTAAGCAGCTACTGTCATGACAGACAGGTCATATTCCTTTTAAAGTAGATCACATCATCCTTTATAAGATACGTTGATTAACAATGCATGTAAACGTTGATATTTACGTGACAGCCAATTTAAGTTGTTTTTGCGTTTTGGAAATGCCCCATTGCTATGTTATTTGCATTATTTGTTGCCAATGAAGTCGCATATAAATGAGGAGGCCCCTAACAGTTTAAGAATAAAAGCCAACTTCACTTCAAGTATATTCCACTACACCTAACATTCTGTAGAGAGATTATATTGACAACTTTATGTAATTGATATGGCTGAGACAACCAACTGACATCCCCCGTGTCAAGGAATTCCAGCTTTAACAGTAATCCCACAACAAATTTCTCAAAACTGTGATAGAGGGTTATTCATTAGCACAGAATTACGATATGAACTACTGACGAAGGAAAAATCTAACTTACACTGTAATGGATATCTCCCTTTGAAGTTAGAACATGTCTTCCCAACGCAAACAGATATTTTTTTAAATAAAAGCATAGATTAATCTGCATTACACTGATGAAATCACGGAAGTGTTTAACTACAAAAGATCCACTAATACGAATTTAATACTATTTAAAGGTTCTTCCAAACGATGAGATACCAGATAATATACTAATAACTCCGATGACGTACAGTATGGGCAATATTTTTATTCATTGAATGATCAACCATATTTGGTAACTAATGCAATTAATATCAATATCATTATTGTTTTTACACTTTTAATCTTCAAACAATGCTAAATGCTCAAAATATGTACAATTTCACTCAATTTATCGCAGTTAGATGAATTAGCGTAAGCCTTTGAAAATAACCGTCGATTTCGACGGGTTTCACCTAGTTCTTAAAAAAATACACAAATAGCATTCGCTTTGGTATTTACTCAGGGGAGGTACAGAAGAGGCTACGATGACAGCTGTGGACTTCTTATTAGCTGAAGGAACGCCATTACCGAAACATTTCTTGTAATTTTCAAAAGACTTTCGAATGACAATCATTACGAATTAGCATTGAATATATAACACCACGAATACTAGAAAAATGTTTTTTCTAGTATTCGTGTATAACACTATTTAGCTATATATTGCGTTTTATTCAACATAAAATATAATGTAGTAGTGTGTTATACAGTGTTGCAGTAGTCTAAAACATTTGATAGTAAGTACCACTCAATCGAAAAACAGTAAAGCAGTAAATACTTGATACGAGCCCTTCCTCAAATCCATCCGTGGGCTGATCCATCCAAGCCCGTCCGTCACATTTGGCTGATTGAAGGGGCGAGGGATGCGCGTGCACACATCTTCTTTTATAAGCCTTGGGTCCCAGGTCCAGGTCTTACCATGAGTACGTCTTACCCGTTCGTACTACGGTAATAGCTAAAACCCTATGGAAAATTAGCTAAAAGGCCATCAACCACTTAACAAAAAAAAAAATATATATATAGCCGTGTGTGATCATTACTTGCGATGGTGGCAATGTCATAAAAATTGCACTCACGTTATTCGTGTCTTACACAATCGCGGCAACATCCGCGATAATCTCCTGCGATTATCTCAGCATCCATGAATGTAGGCCTTTTTGTGATTGTGGCCATATCTCTGATCATATCTCAATCGTGGCGAGATTCGTGATGACTTCCGTATCGCGGCAACAGCCGTGATGATTTATTTCTTGTGATTGCGGTGACGTCCTGTATTCGTGATGGTTTGCTGCGGTCGCGATTTCCCACTTCGCAAAACAAGAAAGTCCATTCCGTAAGCGCCTAGTAAATTTTTGAAGTTAGGAAAACCTTAGTCCGACGGGTTCTCCTACGGGTTTAGTAGTTTAGTGCTTGGGTTTAGTATATGTCATCAAAGTGCTATAAAATCTTTACAACTTAAGCTATATCTCATTTTGTGCTGTTTCTGTTAAATATATTTAAATACAATCTTGTCATTTTATTTGTAACTATTTTCCACTAAGGCTACTTAAATGAGAGATATTCAATTATATAAAACATAAGTAGGAGCTGAAAAAGGGTATTATATTTAAAACTATTTGTATATTGTCACCTAAAAATATGTTGCCAGTTAAGGCAGCCACAGTTACAATATTTACTGCTTTACTGTTTTTCGATTAAAAGGTACTCACTATCAAAATGCTATATACTAATACTACCACCATTGAATATACTGTATAACACTATGACTATATATTCAATATTGAATACAACACTATATTTGATATAATACGCTAAATAGTGTTATATATTCAATGCTAATTCGTAATGATTGTCATTCGAAAGGCTTTGGAAAATTACAAGAAAACATATGATTTGGTGGTAAATAAAACACGTTTTACTCACACTGACGTCACTATGCACACACCTTCTTTCATACGCCTTGATGTGGAGTGGTGTACGGTGCTGGTGGCCTGTCAGACGGCCAACCATCGTGACAGTCTTCATCCATTTGTTGGAGTTCTCACCACGGTCTCTCAATTACGAATGTTAGACCGTCTGGTCTGGGAGTGTGTAGAGCCGTCCAAGACGGTCTGGTTACAGCCAGACGGTCTGGTCTGGAGGTCTGGTCTGGTAGTGTGTGGGGGGCTTAATTCGTAATTGAGAGACCGTGGTGAGAACTCCAACAAATGGATGAAGATTGTCACGATGGTCGGCCGTCTGACAGACAGCGCTACACACTCACAGACCAGACAAAAATAGTGGTGGGGGAACCTCAGACCGTCTGTGGTCTGAGGGTTCAACCATCAGACACGCAGACAGTCTGGTCCGAGAAAATCGGTCTGCAGACAGCCCCACACACGATAAAGCCCCCCACACACTACCAGACCAGACCTCCAGACCAGACCGTCTGGTCTGGCGTCTGGCACTTGTCTTATCGTGTGTGGGACTGTCTGCAGACCGATTTTCTCGGACCAAACTGTCTGCGTGTCTGAAGCCCCCCACACACTACCAGACCAGACCTCCAGACCAGACCGTCTGGCTGCAACCAGACCGTCTTGGACGGCTCTACACACTCCCAGACCAGACGGTCCTAATTCGTAATTGAGAGACCGTGGTGAGAACTCCAACAAATGGATGAAGATTGTCACGATGGTCGGCCGTCTGACAGACAGCGCTACACACTCACAGACCAGACAAAAATAGTGGTGGGGGAACCTCAGACCGTCTGTGGTCTGAGGGTTCAACCATCAGACACGCAGACAGTCTGGTCCGAGAAAATCGGTCTGCAGACAGCCCCACACACGATAAGACAAGTGCCAGACGCCAGACCAGACGGTCTGGTCTGGAGGTCTGGTCTGGTAGTGTGTGGGGGGCTTGATGGTTGAACCCTCAGACCACAGACGGTCTGAGGTTCTCCCACCACTATTTTTGTCTGGTCTGTGAGTGTGTAGCGCTGTCTGTCAGACGACCGACCGTCGCTACAGTATTCAACCATTTGTTGGAGTTCTCACCACGGTGTCTCAATTACGAATGTTAGACCGTCTGGTCTGGGAGTGTGTAGAGCCGTCCAAAACGGTTTGGTTGCAGCCAGACGGTCTGGTCTGGAGGTCTGGTCTGGTAGTGTGTGGGGGGCTTTAGTCAAGTGCCAGACGCCAGACCAGACGGTCTGGTCTGGAGGTCTGGTCTGGTAGTGTGTGGGGGGCTTTACAAATACACATTCAGGATTGCCAACCGCTCGAATTGCCGTTTATCTTAAACGAAGCCAGTAAAATGTTGGAGAAACTGAACACACATTTTAAACGGAGTTTAAAAATAAACTAGTTTATTATAAACGTAGTTTACACCATTTTGGGGAAACCGGGCCCTAATCATAAACAATAACTTGTCCCCTAGTTATTTAACCAAACAGTAAAGCACAAATCAAGAAATTAACCCTAAAATAATATAAACAAAATTTCGTCAACACTAGCGCCCAGTGTGGCATACATGAACTAGACATAAAAAACGAGCTTCAAAATTTACATTGGGATGAGAAGTCTACTTGTGTTGGTTAGTCTATAACTAAACTAAATGTTTAACAATAATACATTTCCTTTGCTCTTTTCACAGCGTGTCTGGGCGGAAATATTCCATCATTTGAAAAAGTAAGTATGGTGATAAATAAAGTAAAAGTGGGTATACTAATTACACCAGAATATGTGTTATCTATCATTACACCAACCAAATACTTCGGTCATCCTTTCACTCATATTTAGGGCAAAATGTGTATCCCCATCTCAATTGACAGTAAATAAACTGTATAATCAATCTGACACATATTTTCTCCCATTAGTGCGTCAACCAACAATCATGGCCAAACGGTGGGAGTGACGTCCTGGAGAGTGACCACGAATACTAGAGAAATACAAATGTTTTATTGCTAAAAGTTGCAAGAGTTGCAATAACTTTTGAACAGGAATTTTTACAGTGTTCAGGGTTTTACAATTTTGTTAAGAGTATAAGGGCTATAACATACTAAATTTTAATCAAAATCGTTTGAGTTGCTTATTTGATGATTGGATTTTACTATTAGCCTATTTTATAGGGGGAATCACATTACCATATATATATATAAATGAATTGAACAATAAACGCCTGGAGATGCCATGGATTAGTATCCACATATCAAATCTAATCAAAATTGGAAATCACGCGTAGTCCTGATTGTACTGCCATATAAGTATATATCTTCAAAACGAATAAATAAATCAGTCACTTAATAAATTTCACCATGAGGTATAAGAAAGTCTATAAAAAGAAACATGAAGAATCTTACATATTAAACCAATGGTCCACGTGTATTCCGTCAAGCACTTTATCCTGACTCCCTGTTGCTAGTAAATGTACTGTCGTCTGACAATTAGCAGACAGATTTATCTTCCCCCACCAACCATAGCTCCCTGTCAGTGTCAAGAAGTCAAGAAGAGGTAGAAGGAAAGGGTTTTGTTCATTTGTGAAAACAATATTCTTTGGTCTAAGTAGTTGAAACAAATTGTATGTGCTGCAAGTGTTTCAAGACGACTTTTAGTCTATTTCTAGTAAATATTTTAAACATTGAAACAGAAATAGTCTTTTGGGGTAAGTTAGAAAGAAATAGGCTTAGTAATGTTTTCAGATGCTCTTTCTCTAGGCTGCATTTTGTTTGAACACTTTCCTTTATTTTTTAGTGTTAATGGTTAACTTAAGGTTTAAGACTAGGCTATGATAAATTACTTTCATCTGAATTATACTTTTAGGCCACGGATAGTATACTTGGTAGAATGTATGTAAGTTATATGAAAAAAATGTACGTATAAGAAAGAAACATCTTAAACTTTATCACTAAAATTATTACTCAAAAGGCTGGTGTCAGAGTTATTAACCCACTGGATTTAGGAACCTTGTAAGAAAGCGTTAGGTTTTCATCCCAACAAGTTAATACCAGGAACCCACAGTTGAACAATGCCTATGATCTCTGTTTTTTTTAAATATAATGGGTTAAGTTGCAAAGAATGCTCAGAGTTGATCGTATTTAACAAAACTTGTGCATTGTGGAACTATTATTTTAACTCCATAATAACAAAACCTGTCAATAGTTACGCTTTACCAATCCTAATAGCCTATACGGTAATGTTACCATAGGACAGTTAACTCGAATAAATTAACAAAAATTCTCATCTATCTATTAAGAAGTTCTAGTACCGGTATCTTGTCTCTCATCAGTGTTAACTTACAATTAATAAGTTACTAGCAGCCCTACATTCTAAGGTTAAATCACAACTCACTTTAGGTTTGGTTTTAAAGCCAACTTTGCTTAAGTTAGTCATGAGTGTGTATTGGGCATTAGCCTAAGTGGCCTCATTGTTGCTTTACTCACTAGTTGTATAATATTTAAAAAAATTCAGGTTTATAATATTTTTATTTATTGAGTACGGTAAAACCAAAGTTATAGGTGGCCTCTTTTTTTTAGAATAGTCATTGTCATTGATTGTGTGTTTTAAATATACCTGTCGCAAAAACACATAGCCTATCAAAGTACCGTAATGTTACATATGAGAAAAATTACTCATGGACTGTACTGTATTAACCATAAAAGTTGCACCATATGGTTTCTTCACACGGTTCCTTGTCAAGAAGACAATAACCCATCACAGAACACTTGGAACCTTTGGTTCGTTACTCATTTTTATTTAAGTTATATGTTTAATGTTTAGTGTCTGGTGGGATGCCAAATTCGTTTAGCTGTGTCCAAAGATAACGCTCTTATGCTTTTTTAATATCTATAAATTCCTAAAGAGTTCTTTAACAGGCCTATCAAATAATATCTGCCCAGTTGTTGATCAGATAAAACCAGCCTGATCCTCACCAGTTATCTAGTTTGAATATTTTCTAGCTGATTTAGGGCAATTCGGGATAAATTGGTAAATTGTATGGGATACTAAGAAGTGAGATTCCTCTGTAATTACTACAATCCTCTTTCTCTCCCTTTTTACGTATGGGTAACTACCCTGCCAGCTACTCAATTACTACCATAAATAAGCTAAATGCAGTCATGAAGAAATTAAATGAAATGAAAATCTAGTTAACTAACTAACAGAGTTTTCCCAACAACAACATATGAATCTCCATAATCATATTCCATATCAATATCTGGCATGAGACAAAAGATAAAGCTTCCTCCATGAAGATTAGGACTTTGAGTGTTTATAAATATAATACTACTGTAACTTGAGAGTTATTACAAAAAAAAAAAAAAAAAATCTAAAAAAAACTGAATTTGTTCTCATTTTTGTATTGTTATCTGGCACAAATAATTCTTCTTTTGCAAGACAAAGAGGTGTAAGTAGCCTAGCGTTGTTTGAAAGCTTGTTTTTGCAAATGAAATAAAAACATTAAGGTACAATTTTTAAATGAAAACATTTTTATTTAGTTGAGCTAACAACAGAGTGTATTAATTTACCATCTTCGTCGTTTCTTCTCTACACCAACTTTTTAATCATGCCAAACTGTAGTCTCTCCTATGTTTCCTGTCATCTAAATATGAAAGATAAAATGGGTTTTAATTTCTATAGATATTATTATTAATCATCAGCCCTAAAAAAGTTGACATCACCCGATATTTTGAAATATAAAAAATATAGCTTTGATTCAGTAGCACATTCTGTTTTATTGTATTGTATGTGCTTGCCCGACATCCACTATAACTAAATAAGCCTATAGGCCTACCCACCAGGTCCAGGAGCTTTTGGCCAATGTTAGCGTCTGGTTCATCACCTGGCTGCTTTTGACCAATCAAAGACCTTCTCCAAGCTTCAAGTCTGTCGCAATCCATAATTGGGGTATGTTCTTTCCAGTCTTATCGGCCTGGTATCAAAGTCGACACTCCTAGTTGTCATTGATACCATTGCCCAGATTGTGAAGGTGTCTCCTGAAACACCCCGCGTCTTGACCCTCTACAGACCTACGAGTTGAACATCTGGCCTTCTTTCAAGGTCCTTCTGCGGAGGGTGGAGTGATCGTTGCGTTAAGTTCGCTTGGCCATCGTGCTCCGACATCCGGACTCACAGTAGGGCCTGGTGTTCTTCCCTCCTTTGATCTTTGGGGCTTTTTCTTTTTTCATCTGCACCATTCAAGAACTTGGTCTTGCTCGGGATGAGCTATCCCCTGAAGTTGTTGGCAATGCAACTACTGGAGTTGTGCCGAGGCTTTTCCTAGTATGGTTTTGGTTTTTCGGAAACAATAAAGTTTCCACAAGTTATGAAGGGTTACAATGGGTTCCCACAAAGGGCTGAAGGTTGAGCCCAGGCAGAGCCCTGCATGCTCGGGTGAGGCTAATTCCTACAGGAGGTCACCTGGTAGCCTTGAGGCTCCACTGCTAGGGAGCCTGATGGCATTCACCTCTTTGGCATGGGTTGCTAGACACCACTGAGGTTCGGAAACAGAAGCAAAAGGAAGGGAGATGGTAAAAAGAGTTTTTCAATTGGAAAGTGAAGAAGGAAGAAGAGCCAGCAAACAAAGTACGCCCAGAACGAAGAAGAGAAGGGATCTAGAGATTGGCTAGGGTACTTAGGGGTCGTCAGCCTCGTATAGTTTGGCAGCAACTACCCCTAAGGGTACATTCAGTGTGGAGGCTCATATTAGTTTTACTAGAATGTAAATTTGGCTTTTGCTATTCCATAAATGTGATTTTTATGCATCCAAAGTCAATGATTTATCATACCAATTTTTGTTTGCAGATAACTGAGCCTCTTAAAGACAATCTTACTGGATCATGGGATGTTCTTTACAGGATATTGTTTCTTGGTAAGTTGAAAATACTAAATGCCATCATGATTACTAATTAACTCAGTTTATTGAATGATAATGCTTTAACTTCTTTAATTAGCCTATGGTTTTTCTTAACCCTACTTAACTGATATTGGAAATTAGGTCACAAGTATTTTGTACCTACACTTTAACACTTAAATTAACACCACCAAATTAAATTAGATCGTAAATTTTTGTTGTAGGCCTTTAGGTTATGTGATTGATATAAAAATAAAATATTATTTTAATTGTTTTTCTTATAATAATTTTCTGTTTAAAATAAATTGTGTATCAAATTTGTAACACTGTACATTGTAACATTGTAATTTGTAAATAATTCTCTTCATTTAGTTTCACATTAGGGAAAACAAACTCATTTTAAACACAATTCGATGAATGGTTGGAACAATTTTGAGAATCTCTAACAAAATGAGGACTTCATTTTGGACCCTTGAAATTCAAACTGTAAACAAGGCTGTAGCAATAGGAAGAATGTTGGTACGAGAATAAATTGCTGGGAAGCTTATAATATCTTACATTTGCCACACGTGAGATTGTTTACTGCTGCAAAGTTCCTCTTGTCTAAATATAACCATAGAGTCAGCTGAAGGCCATTTTACATTACCATCTCGGGAGTTTATTTGGCAAGTTTCATTAAGCAGCATAGTAAATGTGGTTCAGGCATAAAGATAAAGACTCATTGAATTTTTACACCCTTTAAATATACCTAATCTTGGATTATCCAAATACCACGAACACCATCGAAATTTCCTTTTCAAGTGATGCTGGATTATGTTTTATAAGACTTGGTTGTCTTAATTTATTTTGTAGCAATCAAGAAGTGTTATTAGGGTTTTATCTGCTTTAAATTTGTTAAAATATCGAGGAAAAATTTTAAATCACTGAAAAATGTTCTCCTCTTTTTATTGAATACATATTTTACTTAACTCCTCGTATAAATATTGTTTTCCTGTACAACATTGTTTTGTGTATTTGTTTGATTTGACTGGTGACACAAAATGCTGCATGCAAGGTGATTTTAAATAGTACATTTCATCAGTCATCACTAGGGCCTAAAGTGACTTTTTTTGACCCGAGGTCTAGTTTTACGATCGAGGTGAAGCCTAGGTCGGAAAATGAGCATTAGTTAAAAGCCACTTTTTGCCCGTGTGGTGAAATATATTTTTTGTCATATTGCCTCATTAACTAACAAACAAAGCTAGAAAACGAAATAACTTGTTTATAAAGATAACCTCTCAAAACGACTTCCAGCTTGTTTTCAATTCTGCTAATGCAAATAAGCAGCTGTTTCATAAGTGATAAAATCATTTTGTCGATTACGATTGTGTTACAGTACATTATACCATCGATATGTCAAGCAATTGACAACAATAGGCTAAAACCTTACCTATTAAATCAATCGATAAATAATTGCGGTTGATACGATTGCCACAATCAAAATTTGCAGCTGATTTTTACTCCTTAGAGACTAAAAGTGATTTTTACTCCCTAGGGAGTAAAAATGCTACTTTAGACCCGCAATGCATGCATTAAAAACGGCTGTTTTTGCTGCAGTATGACGAAAATTATTTTCTGGTTTTAAAAACTAGGTTAATAGAAGATTTAAAAACTTCATGAAAAATATTTTCACATTACACGATGATTTTAAAAATGGATCATGAACTTAGGACATTCAATTTAATTTGCATTGAAACTTTTAAGGAATTCAAGTAATAGTTTTAAGGTACCTAGATCCTATAACCTATAGGAGGGTATTTAGATCCTTTAACCTGATCAAAATTCAAACCACGTTTGAAACGGTGAGTAGAATTATTTTAAAGAATAAAGTAGACTATTCGCATTTGTTAAAAATCTTCATCAAAATTTAATAACACATAGCTACTGTTTACAAAATAATTTTTATAATAATTATTATAAATCAGTTTTTGGAAAGAAACAAAAAATAACTGGTTAACTGTAATGTGTAAACTGTATTAATACAATGGTGTTAAAATTAATTGCTGTATAGATTATGTTTGGGGTGTGAAGTATGGATTTTAGAACTAACGCTTGATTTTTGTTTGATTTAAAAAAGAACAACAACAATCAGTCTCATTTAATCTGTGTGTTGATTTATACAAAATTTTCCTGTAAACATACCTGCAAATATTATCTCAATGAAAACAAATAAAGTTCAAAGTTCTTGCTACCAAATTGTTAACTGACTACTAAATCAATAATGAAATTGTCTGAACACCTACTGTAAATATATATTACTAGCTGTAACCCGCGGGCTTTGCCCCGTTTAACTTCTTAATTTTCAAGATTATCTCGTTCGCATGGCTCAATCACGTCCTGGTTGAAGTTTGTTCGCTACGCTCACTCACCTTTAGGTTGGAGCTCGTTCGCTACGCTCACTCACCTTTAGGTTGGAGCTCGTTCGCTGCGCTCACTTGCCTTCAGGTTAGCTCGTTCGCTACGCTAACTCGCCTCCAGGTTGAAGTTCGTTCGCTACGCTCACTCACCTTTTGGTTGCAAATTAGCTGTTGTCATAAATGTAAAAGAAATAATAGTGCTGCACCCTGTTGGTAATTTTTGTAACTTTAATGCTATTGAACATCACAGAACAGAACCAACTTGTATTAATTGAAACAGCTGTTAAGATTCAATAATTTCATTTCTCATAAGGTTAACATGGGAAACTCCAGAGCCACTGGGGCGGAGCCCGAAAGGATTTTTGAAATAAGAATATGCCTATATGTTAATCGGGAATGTGAGCTATCATCATGCCAAATTTCAGCCCAATCCGACCAGTATTTTTCGCGTTCACTTGTCACAAACATACATCCATACATCCATACATCCATACATCCAAACTTTCTCATTTATAATATTAGTAGGATTTAGAAAACATAAGTGATAAAACTACGTGATTCCAAATTGGAATTTTTTCAGGTATCAAAAGAAGATTGGCACTTATGACAAACAACCTTGGGAGAAAACGGTAGAACAGCATATCTTGAGTGGGTTCACACCAATACCCAAGAAAACTGCTAAGCTCAAAACTGAATTGATTGACATTGATTTAATTAGAGGTAAGTTTCTTTTGGAATAAAGTATATACAAAATTTAATTCTGTTATGAAAAATCTTTAAGTTTTAGATAAAAATTGGTACGGTAATAAAAAATGAAATAAGTTTTTTTTACTTGTTTATCGATAGTAATTGGATTGTGAATCCTACAATTTTGGACATTGTAGGAACTGAATAATGCTGTTAACCAATGTTTATTTTGTTGAAGCAAACTTGTTTGATTTGATTGCGCTGTTGTAAAAGCTACTGGCCAAATAAAAATTATTATACTGTACATGATATTTTCACTTGTTAGTTTTACTAATCCAATAAAGTTATATTTTAAGACTGTTTTTTTCTTGTACAGGATCCTCTTTTACCAAAGCCAAGCCAAAGCATGGGCTGATGACAGTTACGAGGCTGGCTGTGATGCGGTTGGTGTTTCTACCCTTCCACTCGCAATGGTGGGCGCAGCAGACGTCGTACTTTGTGTTCTCCGGGCTGTTGCTCCTCTACACTCTACAGATCATCAATATGGTTCTGTACTTCTACGTTTGTCCACCTCACTCGGAAAACGATGAAATTGAAGTAGGTTCCAGCAAAAATTGTAAAAGTAAACCTGTAAAAGGAAACGGTACTAACTACTGAGATGCATAAATTTAGTTTTAATATTTGCTACTTTGGGATTATACCGACCACACTGATAAATCGACTTTCAAATAATAGTCCAAGCAAACTAAACAAACTTACATAGGTATCGTTAAAAAAATTGCAAGAAAACGTTTTATGGTTTTATTTTGTAGAGTTGGGTTTGCAGAATGACATACTAAAAGTTGCCAAAAATCGGTGCACAAGAAAACCACTAAAATCAGAATTTAAAATGGCGGCTATTTCCAACATTGGACAAATTAAAAAAAAACATATTTCACATGCATTTGTTATGCACATTTTTCGAGATAATGACTTGGGACCACCACCTGTATTCATTGGGTGGTTAGTATTTCATTTTGATAGGGAACATGTTTTTGGCCGCCATCTTGGATCCGCCATATTGGACATAGATAATTTTTTTTCAATGTAATGATAGTGTTGTGACACATCATTACCAACTACAATTTTACACTGATTTCAATGCCGAAATCCGTTTTTAAATATCTTTATTCATTTAGAAGATATATTCAAACGAAAACTCTCCAACATACATTTCTTATGGACGTTTCGTAGTTTGATAATTGTTTTAAAATTATTTTTCTTATATCTCCAGTTATTATTGACGCTTGTAGTTCGTTCTAGGCTTAAAATATTCAGTAATGTAAGGGTTTTTATTTGAGCTCTTGATCATTAAAATCAGATGAGTTAAAGACCAGCTGCGAACCTCAGAACAATATTAAATTTAACTTTTTATAAATATATTTTTATTAAAAGATTTATGACTCGGGTTGTTAATACGTCACCAAGTTCTTTCTGGTCTCAAATTACTCAATGAATGTTTAGCTTTGATTTTATTAATCACTAAACAAAATCTGACAATTTTAAAATGAGTCATGGTTCTTAATTTAACATTAAAATGTATTTGTTTTGAAATTTGTCCTTAGTTAAGGACATATATCCCAAACCCTAATAACTCCCGGAAAGTAATCCATGTCTAAAATAAAAGTCAATATTTTGGCTTAAAGACTATAAAGAGTTTTGGGAGTTATTTAGAATTGGGGATATACGTCTTTAACTAAAGACAAATTTCAATATAAATACATTTTAATGTTAAATTATGGTCCATGACTCATTTTAAAATTGTCAGATTTTGTTTAATGATCGATAAAATTGAAGCCAAACATTTACTGAGTAATTTGAGAGCAGAAATAACTTAGTGACGTATTAACAACCCGAGTTATAAATCTTTTGATAAAAATATATTTATAAAAAGATAAATTTAATATTGTTCTGAGGTTTGTAGCTGGTCTTTAACTCGTCTGATTTTAATGATCAAGAGTTCAAACGAAAGCCCTTATATTACTGAATATTTAAGCCTAGAACGAACTACAACCGTCTATAAGAACTGGAGATATAAGAAAGATAGTTTTAAAAAATTTATCAAACTACGAAACGTCCATAAGAATTGTATGGTGGAGAGTTTTCGTTTGAATATATCTTCTAAATGAATAAAGATATTTAAAAACAGATTTCGGCATTGAAATCAGCGTAAAATTGTAGTTGGTAATGATGTGTCACAACACTATCATTACATTGAATAAAAAATTATCTATGTCCAATATGGCGGATCCAAGATGGCGGGCAAAAACATGTTCCCTATCAAAATGAAGTACTTACCACCCAATAAATACAGGTGGTGGTCCCAAGTCAATATCTTGAAAAATGAGCATAACAAATGCATGTGAAATATGTTTTTTTAGTTTGTCCAATGTTGGAAAAAGCCGCCATTTTAAATTATGATTTTAGTGGTTTTCTCGTGCACCGATTTTTGGCAACTTTTAGTATGTCATTCTGCAAACCCAACTCTACAAAATAAAACCATAAAACGTTTTCTTGCAATTTTTTTAAGGTCATATCCTATATTTCTCCGACTATAAGATTTTAATTAGTTTAATAAAACAAAATATTCATGACCTAACCTAAAACATAGTGCACCCTTAGGTTAGGTTATATATACCAAAGTACTAAATATAGGTACGGTAGTAACAGTTTTATTTGACAATATTTATTTGATTTGTGATTCAATGGCATCACATCATTTTCAGGAGGTACGTCTTTTACTTCAATGACAGGAAACGTAAAATTTATGTAATCAGAACTAAATATCTCATGCATTCTCCTGTTATAAATACTTTGTTTTGCAAAAGATATCGAAAGTGAAGTAAATTTGTGTAACCAAGCTGGGTAATTACAGAATTTTTCCATATTGATACTCATTTCAATCCTCAATGTTCAAAGAGAGTGATGAATTTACACTGGTTATCTTAGCACACTTTCTATTGAGCTTATTAGATGAGTGATGTAGTGCTGGTAAGCAGAAAATTGTCAATTCGATTTTTTTTAAGTTTATCCCTTTAAAACTAAACCCAGTTGCCCCTGATAATTGGAATATGAATCAATATTGTCCTAGATCAATAAAAACTGGTCTCAAACAGTTACACAGCTTCCCAAGTTATCCTACTTCATTCTCCACTCATACTTCACTCATATTCAGCTCAATTACACAGCACCAAGTGCATCTCAGTCCCGAAGAAATAATACATGATTTACGCAATCAAACAATTTAACTATAAGGTGTTGTGAATGTGCTACCTTTATCAAGAAAATTTTACTTTGTCATCTTATTAAGGTTTCGAAATATCTTAATTTTCCTTTGTACATTTTGTAACAGCTTATCGTCAGATATCTCTGTGAAATTCTCATAAGCCTCATTCAAAAACATCAACATTAAAACTGAATTAATTAACTATGTTGTTCGGCAGCGGGTGAACTTGAGCGAAGTGTTAGTGCCGCTCGCCATGATGTTTGGCTTGAGTATCATCCACTCGCAGATAGTGTCGCCCCACTCCTGTGTTAGCCAGTGTACTACGGGGCGGAGGGCGAGGCGAGCCAAGCGGAGCAAGCGTCGTCCCCCGCCACTACAGCGGTACCGTTCCAACATAGGTAGGTTCATAAGTAATCAATGTTTCAACATTAATGGATTAGATGGTATAATTAATTCAATGGCCTGAACTGCCACAACAACTATCTTGAGCTTGCGCCCTAGGTCTGCAACTAAGTATTGTCATTCAATTCAATTAAAACATCTGTTAATGGGTCATTCCATATCAAGTGATCAAAATAAAAAATAAAATTTTCCCTTATGTTTTTCATTCTTGTTAGTTTTTGGTTTATTTAATATACACATAAAACCAATTTAAAATTTAGAAAAAAAATATTTTTATCTCCTTTGGTTTTTTTGTAATCTTACTTTAAAGTTCCAAAAAAAGTGTGGTTTTGCGCTTAAAGGGATTTACGTTTTATTTAATATCTCAAGAAAGAATAAAGATAGAAAGGTAAAACAAAAACCATTCTTTTCAGGATTAAATTAGCTTTAATTTGATATACAACATGACAGTATTTAAAGTAATTAAAATTTCAACCCCCCAAACTCAAAATTTCAAAAGCCAATCCCAAAAAACGCATATGATTAAAAATTTTCAAAAAAATACCATGGATCCTTAATGTTATTAATAATTTATGTCCAAAAATTCAAGTTGGGATCTCAATGGGATCCATATTAAAATAATTTTTTTGTATAAGCCTGCAATGTAAATAGACAAGTCGTAGGCTACAGGGCTAATCGTTACATTCATTAGCTACAAAAATGTCTAAGTAACGTAACATACAATAAAAAGCTCAGTTGTACAATACAAGTACAGTAAGCCTAAAGTGTCTAAAATTTGGTAACTTCACTTTTTAAATAAGATATCAATTTCCTTTGATACAAGCTTCTTTGAGGATGAAGAGCAAGTTAACCCAGATTCAGAAATAATTGCGGAATTGAAAGAAAAATTTCAGAAAACTACAAAAAAAGTGAGAAGTTCTTGAGACTTACAACATTACCTAAAAGTTGGACTGTGAAAAATTGAAATCGAGTTTGGTGTCAGTAATAGGATGGCCAGAAGAGCTAAATCGTTAGTTAAAGAAAAGGGAAATAATGTCATGTCCAGACCCAAAGCCAGGAAACACTTTGGACCAGAATGTTGTAGATAAAGTCAAAGCTTTTTACAACTCTGATGATGTGAGTCGAATTATGCCAGGCAAGAAAGATTTTGTAGTGATGAAAGTAAATGGATAGAAAGAAAATGTGCAAGAGAGACTGGTTTTATTAAATTTAAAAGAATACTTTGAACCGTTCAAAAAAACAGAATCAGCTGTGAAAATTTTTTTTCTCAAAGTACGCTGATTTAAGACCGAAGAACTGTATCTTGGCTGGGGGAAATGGAACTGACTCTGTTTGCGTGTGCACAACGCACCAGAATGTAAAAGGAATGATTGTCGGAGGAAAGCTGAAAAAGGTGAAGATTGATGAAGCTACTGATCTTGGCGATTACAAACAATGTTTGTCACAAATAATGTGCCAAGAAAATACCCCTGACTGCTACCTAAACAAATGTGTAAAATGTCCAGGAGTATTAAAACCAAAGAACTAAAACTAAAAGAAGTACTTCTGAACCACTTTGAAGAGGGGATGATAGAGACCATCACATACAAACAATGGGTTTCTGTGGATAGGTGTACATTTGAGACATTTTGCGAGACTGTAGAAGAATTTGTGGACAGTTTTTGTGAACAGCTTGTTGAACTAAAGAATCATTCATTCATATCCCGTCAGCAATCCAAGTACTACAAAGATTTGAAAGAAAACATCCAAGAGGATAAAGCAGTTGTAAGTTTGGACTTTTCAGAAAACTACTCTTTTGTGGTCCAAGACGAGGCACAGTCTTTCCACTGGAATAATAACCTCTGAGCTACTGTGCATCCATTTGCTGTTTATTACAATGAGAAAGGAGAAATTAAGTATACAAGCTTTGTAATAATATCAGAATGCTTGATTCACGACTCGGTAGCAGTCCATTTATTTCAATTGATATCTTATTTAAAAAGTGTTAAAAAGTAAATTTTATTACGGTACCAAATTTTAGACACTTTAGGCTTACTGTACTTGTATTGTACAACTGGTTAGGCCTATAGACTATTAGCTTTTTATTGTATATTACATTACTTAAGACATTTTTTGTAGCTAATGAATGTAACTATTAGCCCTGTAGCCTAAGACTTGTCTATTTACATTGCAGGCTTATACAAAAAAATTATTTTAATATGGATCCCATTGAGATCCCAATTTGAATTTTTGGACATAAATTATTAATAACATTAAGGAGTAATGGTATTTTTTTGAAAATTTTTAATCATATGCGTTTTTTGGGATTGGCTTTTGAAATTTTGAGTTTGGGGGGTTGAAATTTTAATTACTTGAAATACTGTCATGTTGTATATCAAATTAAAGGTTATTTAATCCTGAAAAGAATGGTTTTTGTTTTACCTTTCTATCTTTACTCTTTCTTGAGATATTAAATAAAACGTAGATCCCTTAAAGCGCAAAACCGCGCTTTTTTTGGAACTTTAAAATAAAATAACAAAAAACGAGATGAGGTAAAAAAATTTTTTTTTCATATTTAAGCTTCTTTTGCATAGATGTATCTAATGTAAAAAGATCAATCCTGTAAAAAATGGTGAGGTAATTGGTATTTGATCACTTGACATGGATTGACCCTAATGTAACATGCCATACATCCTCTAGTGCACTTATGTGTGCAAGGACATTTCACGGTACATTTTGTAAATTTATTACTGGCAAAATCTATTTGCTTTTAGGTTTGATTTCCAAACTAAACTCAATGTTAAAAATATTTAACTTTTAATTTAAATATTTATTTGGTTTTCCCCTCTGATATTTCAAAACGATTTATTGAATATTTTGTAAAGTTACTTTAATTTTTCCAAAACATAAATAAATATTACTTTACCATTATATAATATCATAGGCAAAAAAAATTAAATACAGACCGACAGCAGTACTGCGTTTAGCGCATGTTCTGGCTTCTACCACTAGCAGTGCCGTGTAATTACGACACACACTGCTGCAGCGTTTGCAACAATTTAACTAAACTAATTATAAAACTTGTGCTCTTATTAAAAAAATTAGGGTTAATAATAAGAAAAAAAAATTAAGCAGATGTTAAGATTTCTTTGTAGTGTTCATTGTTATTTATATGTCTGAAGTCTGTTGTGTTCATAGATTGGTTTTGTTAATTTCAAAAATGCATTAGGCAAGTAAAATGCTTCAAGGAAACACAACACGCTCTTACCATTTATCTATTTTTAGGTTCGGATTCAAAATCGTCCCCTGATACGGGCCCTGAACTGACAACAAACCAAAGCAACAAGTACAGAAAGCGTGTCCGTCTACGAAAGTAAGTCTACATTTAATCTGAACATTTTAAAAACCAATACTGAGAATGGTGATAAGAAAACTACTCGTAGCGGTCATGCTGGTGGACTAAACAACTATGTTAACCTTATAATTCGTAATTTTGTTTCAGTTCGTAGAACATTAAAATAATCAAATCAAATATTTTGTTCTGTAAAATACATCAAAACTAAAAATTATTTAAAGTTTAAATATTAATTTTTCAATTTAACAATAAAAAAAAAAACTTTACCGTACTGGTAAAAGAAATAGAACAATACTCATCAAGGAATGTTGCTTATTTTTACTCCAATAATCACAATGTCTTTCAAGTGTTGCATTACTGGTATATACTAAGGTTTAACCAGTCTTTAACCACCAGGTGCTAAACTAAAATATGATAGCAATTATAACTGCATGGGCTTCATTAATATTTCAAACTATAGTCTACCAAGAAACTAATTACTAAAACACTAGTTGTAGTAAATTTAGGTTTTGTTTTTCAAGATGTGTTTTAATCCTAATTCTTAACTTGAGTTGTCAACTACTTTCACAATATTTACATGTTTTTTTTACAAAAGGAAATCTAACTAGTTTTACTCTCACTAGCTAAATATTAAAGATTTATGTCACATTCAAGGTAGTAACATGCATACACTTTTACTGTACAATATATTAATTATTGCTCACTGCTTGATATTAAGTCCAACAATATAATCCAAGTTTTTAATTTTTCGAATCCAATTTCAAAGTTAGGATTAACCAGTAGTAACGTGTTCACTGTAACTAATAAGTTCAGAATCAACCTTATCATCTTATAACATGGTATCATCCCATCACTGTCACCATTGCATGTTTTAGTGTGTCACCGGAAGATGCGTTTAACCCCAATAAAAAGCCACAACCCCCCTTAGCGGAGGGGAAGGAGCCCCCGCTGTGTGAGGAACTACGGAGCTCCGCCAGGTCAGTGGGGCTGCGTAGTAGTAGTTAATACAAATAACATTCATCATTTAAGGAGCTGAGAAAGTATTAGCTTTTCTTTTGAAAACTTTTAGCTATATTGATTGAATTTAGGATAAACTACTGTGCCTTGATTTGATTGATGAACTGAAGCATCCTATGAATCACTGGCAAAAAGACCATTCATGGTGCAATGACAAGATCTTCCAATGACAAGAGGTTCTGTGGTCAAGACGTCCTGTTGTCAATAGATTCTGTTGTCAAGAGGTCCTGTTGTTAAGAGGTGCTGTTGCCAATAGATTCTGTTGTCAAGAGGTCCTGTTGTCAATAGATTCTGTTGTCAAGAGGTTCTGTTGTCAAGAGGTGCTGTTGCCAATAGATTCTGTTGTCAAGAGGTCCTGTTGTCAAGAGGTGCTGATGCCAATAGATTCTGTTGTCAAGAGGTCCTGTTGTCAATAGATTCTGTTGTCAAGAGAATCCAAAGTTATGATGTCACGGCCAATTACAACAGAAGCTTTTGGCATTGGAAGATCTTGGTGTGTTCCCCTGTAAACTATACATTAAAATACAAATATTCAAGGATTCCTTCTAACTCAAGCCTAATTTTTGTGTTAAGTATAAAGATTGAGCATGACTTAAGCAAGGAAAGACTTTCCCATCTAGGCTTTTCCCTAAACATTTCTATTCAATTTGATTAAGCTAAAAACAGGGCCGGATCTACAAAATATGGGCCCCCCTGCAAAAATCCTCCAAGGGCCCCTATAGAGCTGGCATCAATAGCAGGGAGGCCTTATTTGCGGGAGGGGTGGTGGGGAAATGTTTAAAATATAAGTAGCTGAAACTGAATTTTAACGCTGTTTTAAAGATAAAATATTGATCCTGTTTGTAAAAAAACATTTTCGTTAAAATGCGTAATTTTTTTATTCTTATGTAATAGGATTTCTTAGCCTTTCAAATAGGTTTACAGATTATAAAATAAAATACATATTGTTCAAAAAAAGTAAAAGGTTTTACATAAAGAATTTCAAGCATAAATAATAATGTAAAATAATAAACAAACGACTCAATTTAAACTTAGTTTTTTTTTATACTATATTTTCAAGATAGATAGGCCTACATACAAATCATGGTTCCAGAGGGTGGGGCAGAGGGGCCAAAGCCCCGGGGCCCTGGGTTCTGAAGGGGGCCTGGCCTGGTCTAATGTGAAATCTTTCTGTACATGCAATCTGCTAAAATCTTTGATTTTAGCATGGTTTTTCAGTTCACATATTAATTTTTGAGTGGAATAAAGTTGCAACTATGAGCAAGAGAATTAATCAAACTATCACACGTTTTAGATATATTGTTAAATGTTTAACGAAACGGCACGGAGGCGGCTAGACACTAAATCCGGAAAATAGGGCGCCGGGGATCGCTCAGCTCAGAGGCACGCGATGGCTCTCACCGGCCCTGAGGTCGTTAGATAACGCTACAGAGGTTATTACAAGTCCCGCCTGTACAACAGACTTATTGCTCAGCTCAACTGATAGTTGATTAAGTTGACACTACGTCCACGTCGATCGGACTGTAGTGGATCTGTGAAGCGTGCACTGCAGCTGACGAGCTGACTGGACTGGGCTGAGCTTACAGACTGGACTGACTGAAAGTGACAGTAAACCACAGTTTAAACTGTCTACGGCGAGGTCCCGAGTTGTTGACGAGTAAAATCAGTAGGTCTAAATTAACTCAATAATTGTAACTTTAGCTTTGATATTGACAATATTTGTCTGTCAAAACTAAACTTACCGTACTATTCAATTATGTTTATATGCATTAAAATAATTTTAAATTATAGAGCTCTTTGGGCCCCTTAAGGGCTTGGGCCCCCCTGCATTGCGGGGTATCGCGGTTCCTAGATCCGGCCCTGGCTAAAAATTCAAATTTGACCCCAAAAAACTTTCTTCCAGTGAGAAAGAGGTGAGGATAATAGAGCCTTTGTGCGGCCGGCCGTCGCAGGAGGATGATGGTTTCGAGAGTCTCAACGGCAACGGGTCAAGTGACAACAATGAGGAGGACAAGTCGGGTGAGGGGGAGACACCCGCACCCGAGACACCCGAGTCACCCGAGGCACCCGTAATGGAAGGGGAAGGTGTGTTGAACAGTAGCCTCTCCCACAATAGCTCATTTACCTGCACCAGTAGTGACCACCCATCAGGTATGATTTGCCCTAACTTTAAAACCTATAGTGTAATAAGTTCATCCTTAGCACTTTGCATAGCAAGAATTTCATTTTAAGTATTGTTTAAATGTTTTTGGTTGGAATGTGTTGTTTAAGACTTTTTGATTCTGGTTTTGATTTCTTGCTTTGAGAGTAATTCTTATTATATTTTAAAAACTTTATTACGATGTCAATTTTGATACACAACCTGTTTCCCCATTGGATATTTGATGATTGATTTGATTTAATGCATTTGGAAACAGTTTGAATCATGATTTGAATCCTCTACTTTATTACTCAACACATCACAAATGTTGGGTAGTTGAAGTTAGCATGATTATTGTTTGTCATTGGTTAAAAATATGTATCCCTTTTTAATTTTGATTATTGCCATACCGGTACTCTCGATTTGTGTAGCCTATGTATTGACTTTTTATTTTTTATGATACTGAAGTAGACATGGCATTATTTGTAGCCAGTCTTTTACTAAAAGAGGGCATGTTGAATAAGTCTTTCTTTTCCTTTTTCATATTCTAAGATTTTACAGGGATATGAAAGGTGCTCTAATTTACCGTAGTCTTACCCTTTTAGTCGCCTCTGATTGAAACTCTATTTTACAGTAGTGTTTTCATAGACAAAGATTTTATTTGTTAAACCTTAAATTTACAACCGGTAGTTATCGTACACTTGCATACTATCATTTTTTATTATAATTTGATTATTTTGCAAAATTATGAAATACACTTTATAGGAACACACTCCAAATTTGGTTGAAAAGTGCACCAACCTCTCATGATGATACAATTGTGTCAGATTAGTGGAAGAGTTTACCATTGTAAGATTATTTTCCAAGCAACTTTTCTAAGACTTTGCAAAATTGATTTTTCTATTACCTACTGTTGTAGATTTTCTATGATGTGTTGAGTTATTTTATGTTCTGTGCAGTGTGATCCGACGACGAAGTGGTTGCGGAGGTCAAAGTTAAGTTTGTCCAGTATCAAACGGGTTTGTTATGTCTTCTGTTACCTACCTGTGTACTTGGAATAGAGGACTGTATTTCTATAAGTATTAACTACACATTTAACAAAGCGAAGTAGAAAGTAAATGATTTTGGGGTGTCTGGTCTAGGCTGCACAGGGGAAGTGGATGAAACCGACCACAAAGACACGGATTCTGAACCTTCCCGGCCTCGTTCTGCGATTTCCTCTCAGGTAATTTAAACTAACGTATCTTTTCCTTTTGTTTGGCATTAAGGTTTTTATAGTTTTTAATTTTAAAATGTTATGCCATTGTGAATTCTTTTCCCTCTAAATAATGTGACACTTAGATCTAACCTTGATAGGTTTAGCATATTTATCCATTTGTTGTACAATTTTTGGTTTATTTGCTGACTGGACGTGCGTCTTATTCTATTGCCCCCTTTTTAAACCAAAAAGATAACTAAAAAACTACATACAGTGATAGTTAAAGATTACATAGAAGTGAGTGACAAAGACACGGATTCTGAACCTTCCCGGCCTCGTTCTGCAATTTCCGCTCAGGTAATCTAAGTAACATATATTTTCCTATCGTTTGGCGTTAAGGTTTTTATAGTTTTAAATTTTAAAATGTTATTCAATTGTGAAATTCTTTTCACTCTAAATAATGTTACATTTCGATCTAACCTTGATAGTTATAGCAAATTTATCCATTTGTTGTACAATTTTTGGTTTATTTGCTAATTGGACCCATTGCCCCCTTTTTAAACCAAAAAGATAACTTTGATGATTGTCAAAAATGATCTAAAAACCCAGTGATTTGAGTGTCTTGAGGATAGATTTTTTGTAACACAATAGGCACATTTTGGGAGCTAGAGCTTCCAGTAAGGATTAGTCATGTTTACATCAAGGACCAAAACTCCTTTCAAAGGATACAGAAGGCAGTTGAAATATTTCAAAACTTATCCACAAGAATCAATCCATTTTTTGAAATTGTAAGTTAATTTTCTATCCTTGATCTGTTGTAACTAAATATTGTTTCTATATTTGTTTGAAGTTAATGTTTCAGTAAAATACTGCTTATGCATTATAAATATTGTATTGCCAACTTTACATTTTAACCGTGGGAAAAAAATAAACACATCTAAACTTTAAAATGTTTCGGTTTTCACAGAAGCTGCTGAGCAGACGACGAGGATCGCTACAGACTCTGAGTGTTAAGCTTGCGGAGAGTTCGTACAACTCAAGCGGCGAGAGTGACGGAGAGACAGTGCCCGATACAGCGACCAGCGCGGCCGAGTGGATCGGAGTTACAACTAACAGCGAGGAGTGCAGCTACAGCAGTGAACTGGACGAACGAGAGACAACCTCCCTGCACGACGTCAACGACCACCCCTTCGCATGGGAGTTCCAGATTGTAAGTCCTTGCAACCTGTTTAATCTTAGATTTAACTTAACCATAAATGTTTTAAGCTTTAGTTAAATCATGTATATAGAGACACAGCCAGAATTTTAAATTGATTTATTAATTTTTCCGGCATCAAGAAATTAAAAATTATCAGATTTTGAGATAAGACGAAATACAGAAAGATAAGATAAAATTGTATTTGAAGACTAGGCCCTCAGAAATATCTGAGGCCAAATAACAGAAGATGGAGACTGTAGGAGCAAAAATAATCAGTCAACTTTGGTTTAACAGACAGGTTAAAACACAACGATTGCATTGGCCTCGATGGAAATAATTTAGAATATTCAAACATTGAAATAAATCTTAAGAAAGTAAAAGTCGTCAAGTCGATCCTTATTTATTGTACCATCTGCTTTAAAGGATTAACAAACTGGTTAGTTAATCTTTTTTTCTATTTCATCATGCAACACTAGCATGATTTCAGTTATGAATATAAATAAAAATGTATTGCTATCTGATTATTGTAGACCTAATTAATTAATTGTTTACTGAAAACAATGTATGGTTAAAAAAGTGTCTCTTGTCTTAGCTTAAAGTTCATTAGTTTCCAATTTCCATACAGAGCATGACTTGCACACCGATTTTTTTTTTTTTTTTTAAGAAATACAATTTAATTCTTGAATTGTTGTCAAAATAGGATGAAGGAGTTTTTGTAAATTATAAAACAATATTAAAACATCAGCTTTTACAGCGATTTGACCCCTTTACAGTTTTAAAGCACCCTCTTACATAATATCCTTTGTTTCAGTCACCAGCTGCAATTCTTAGCCCCAGCTGTGCTTCATCTGATAAAGGTAAATACCGCCTCAGAAAACCTGCAGTCTAAGCGATTTTCCATTTGCCTAGATTTTCACTCAAATATTTCCTTAAAATTGTGTGAAAATCAATTTTTACCCCATTAAACCCCGCTCCCATGCTGGCAAATAAACTTAGGTTCACACGTTTGTACAAAATTCTATACAAATCTGATTATTTTTACCTGAGTTCAGGCCGTTGGTTTGCATGTGATGCCCCTCTCCACCTACATGATGGGGGAATTTGTCTCTTCCTTGTGTCTTCAACAAACCTTATACACGCCCAGGCCCACCTGGCCCTTTTATAAAAGCGGCCCTGTTTGAGTTATCAAGTCATTGAGTTTTCCTTGACTTACAAACGGACCCACTCACACATACACATACAGCGTGTCCATTAAAAAACGTTTAAGGACTTTGGTAAATGATGTCTCAAAGAAAAAAAGAAGTTTTTTTCTTTATTTAGATTTCAAAAAAAAAGAAAAAGGTTTATATAAAGGTTTCATATTCACCAAGGCGATTCCGCCATTTTGATTTGTATATATAATATTTTTATCTTTAACTGATCCTTACGAAACTTGGTATGTATATTATAATAAAACAGGGGAATGTATATTAATATTATGTTAGGAAAGATAAGTCGAACTAATATAAACATTGCTAAACGGCTACTATTTAAAAAAAGTTTAATTTTGTAAAATCATGTCACGCACACTTTTATTTTGAATTCCTGATTCTCTATCAAACGACACCGAGATCAAAAAGATCGTAACGTATGTTATTAATTTCTAAAATAAAATAAAAGTGATTTTTGATTTAGGCAAAGATAAGTTTCTGTTTTTTTCCTCAGTGAGCTGCACTATGTGGGACAAGAGGGATGTTAAGAAGGCAGAACTGTCTGTGCTGGATATCAGCTCGGCCATCATTGCTCGGGTGGAGAGCATGCCGGAGAACCTCGACTACTTCTACGGAGGTATAAACATTTATTGCCATCAAGATACTCTAAAGTATGTCTGTGTTTAATTTAGGGATTTGTCGATTCTTGGTACCATCAATACTTGGGACATTGGCAGCGGTATCAAGTCATAAATTGATGCTAATAAAAATATTCCACAGTTATTGTAATCACCTAACGGTGCCTGCCTATATTGCGTGGTTGAATAATTAACACATTTACTACGAATGCGAATCATGACAATAACACTTCACTGACTGCGGGAGACTATGATGTCCAAAAGACCGAGGGAGATATTTAGGATTCTGCCGCCATCGCGGGAGATGATGTGATGATGGTTCCTGTTGTTATTTAGGGTTTTGCTATGATCGTGTAAAACGATGATAATATTCCCTTGACTGGGAGAGGAGATCAAGGTTTTGCCGTGATTGTGGATGACGACAATGATGTCCACAAGACCATGGAATTTTGGGATTACAGATGACGATGGTGATCTTTTTGTGACCGAAGAAAATATTTGTGATTTTGCAGGATTCACAAGAACTTCTGTTTTTAAATTACATGCTTTAAGGCAAGGTAGTATTTACTTGTGAACATTTTTTGTTGGCTTCACTCTCTTTTATTTTTGTCTAGTGACCCCATTTCCAGGACTCATCATAAAACACATACCAACACATTATGCTTGTGATACATCTATCACAATCGTCCATACTTATTTAATGGGTTTGGAAGGGTTATATTTGAATTGGTTGGTTAGACTCTGTCATTGCTGATTAAAATCCTTCCTTACTTAAAAAACTCCCGATTATCCCAAAACTACTTTGTATAAAGACATCAAAGACAGAGTTTTCAAACCACCACCATGGTATCGGTATCAAATCAAGAATAGATTTTTCAGGTATTGGTGTCTAATTTAATAACGTCACTGAGCAGTGATTAGGGTGATTGCTTGAATATTTTCCTTAGGGGGTTTTCAAGCAAACACGGTTCATGTAAACTTAATAGTGTACAAGTGTGAAAAAGACTGATGTTTTTTATCTCTTGCAGGACTGATTGCTTCTCTGTTGCTGGCTGCCATCCCCAGTCTGTGGAGACTCAGCGCTGGAGTCAGTGATGGTTCCACAGGAGTTACTCTCAACATGACTTCACTACTGTCCAGCTTCACACTGTCAGACTCCCTGGACCTCGCCATGCATTCTGCGTTCGGATCTAGTCACAGGTACAGCAACTTCAGCTTCAAACTTTCAAATTTAGTTTTGACACGGTGTCTAGCTGCAGGAAACTTGGGAATGATACTTTTGATGGGAAACGTCTGTGAATTGTAGATGAATTTTTTTGGCTCAAGAAATTTGAAATGATACTCATCAAAATTTCCCGAGCCCAGAAAAATTAATCCATATTTCACTAATTTTTTGTACAATTTACGCACAATTCCCAGTTTTTTCGGTTCCTTTGTTATTATTACCCGATGGTTGAATGGTCATTCATTACTGGCTTTTCTTTGGTTATTTTTTAATTTTAACATTATGATATGTACAGTAGTAAGAAAATTGTGATCGCAAAATAAAACCAAACCGTCATCAGGTATATGAGTTCTAGTTTTATTCATATTTTAATATGAATTTCTTTAGAAATTGAATAAATTATTCTTTTTAGTGGTGAAAATTTATTCGTCGCTTCTTTGCGAATGATGTGAGAACTCATCTTTCACAGTGACTTAATTAGAAATACGGGAAGTAATTTAGTTAGATGTAATTTTTTACAAAAAATGTAAAACTTGATAAGCACTTCCAGTTAATTTTTTTATTTTTAGTATGTATATACCAGTCTTAATTTTATTTGCAAAACCAAATATGTATAACCTGCAAGCAGCATAATCATAACTCATTAATTTTAATTGTAATACTTACCCCCTATTAATAAGAATTGTGATTTTTTCCAGCGAAAGAATCATAACTTCAATAGCCATGATGGAGAAATTTGCACTCGGAGCAATTTTCTTCTTCCTCCTCGCCGTTGCAGAGAGGACGTTCAAACAGAGGTTCCTGTATGCAAAATTCTTTTCACACCTGACATCGTTCCGAAGGGCTCGAAAATCTGAGTTACCTCACTTCAGGCTGAACAAAGTCAGAAACATAAAAACCTGGCTCTCAGTGAGGTCTTACCTTAAGGTGGGTGATGCAAACCATTTTAGATGATTATGTTTTAGGAAAAATTCTTGTCCCTGATTAAGAAGTTTTTGATCAAGTAGTTTTTAAACACCTCTTACTGCTGAGCACTTAGGTAAAAAGTCTTTTTCCCTAGGGAGTAAAAATCAGTCACTTGTAATTATTTATTATTATTATTACCATTTAAGATAGGGACACCACCTATGTGCATTTTTTAACCCTTAATATATGAGTTGAGGATGAGTTTGGAATTAATGGAGTGTGTTGCCTTGTGTTGCATTTTTTAGTGACTAAGATCAGCTGTTTCATTAGTCAGGACCATTTATTGAAGGCTCAAGGATCAAGGACAGCTGGGTCCAGTTTCAAACCATTAAAAAGCTATACACTTTTCTCGGGATCAAACCTGCGACCTTTTGATTACTAGGCGAGCACTATAACCACTGAGCTACCCAGCTATATTTAGATTGTCGCATGTATCGAAATGATATATCAATTTGTTTAATCTTTGATAGCTTATTTTTGCATTCTTGTCAATAGTTGGACATATTGACATGTACAATAACACAATTACCTAGACCCTTTAGCCTGAAGTAATATGTAAAACAGTTCTGGGTTAGAACCTACCGTTCTAGAATGTGAAGGTTGGGCATAAAGAAAAGATATTTAATATGCTAATCTAGTAGGGCTGGGCATTCAAACCACATTAAAAAATGCTTCCTTCTTTCTACCGCACTTCCTGCATAGTAGTCTTTCAACTGAAATCTCCTTCTTATGCCTTCTTTCATGGTGGCCAAAGATATTTTTTTTTTTCAAGAATGCTGCCAGCTTTGGTCAAGTCATATGAATCATTGCTTTGATTACTGTGATGTATTATCCTTACGAGATTGGTGAGTCAGTGGCTCAGTTGGTAGGAGGCAGCGATGTCGTGGGTTGGGATCCTGGTCACTGCCGCAACTTTTTATAAGTCAGTACCCTTTTAATGTACCAGCTTTACACCTTGCTTTGCTGGATACGTTCCAAGCACAGGTCCATAGACTATGTGGATGGGCAAATGCAAGGTAGGTAACAAACAACACTAATGCAAAAACAAACAAACATTGTAATGATTTTACAGAAGCGAGGTCCGCAGCGATCAGTGGACGTGGTCGTCTCAGCGGCTTTCATCATCACCCTACTGCTACTCTCCTTCCTCAGTGTGGAGCTACTCAAGGTATATAACCTATTTGTGTCAAATACTAAGTAACTTTTAGCTTGATTTTCATTATAAAGAAACTGACGTTTGCCCAAGTAGCCTAAGTTCACACATGATCTAGAATTTGGATCCATATGAACTGAAGGATGAGTATTTTAGCTGATATGCAACTGATTATGACTTAAGTTTTGGTGCAGTAGCGTCTTTGCTTGAGGTGTGTTGTCTGGTGTTCGGTGTGATTTTGTAAAATTTGATGATTTCCCTTTTTAGCGAATTCCCCCTAGAAAGAAAAAAGAGCATTTTACTTTGTGTTGTTGTAGGAGGAAGGGAATAGAAAAATTGTTCTGTTTTTTTTCTAACACAAAGAAAGATTAGAATTTCAAATTTTACAGAAACCGATTTACATGACATGTGAGCAATGGCAAAAATTATTTTAAAGGGCTTTTAATAAAAAAATTTAAGAATTTAACATAGAACCACGAACTCTAGTTTTAGGGATTTTTGTTTGGCCAGGTATACCTGAATAGGAAAGAGTCCTCCCAGACACAAGAAACACAAGAACACCCTAAACATTCCTTGGTCGATAAAGCTATCAGTGTCAGTTAACTATTTTACCCCTGAGTGAAGTATAACGGTTTTTATGTTTCTTGTGAAAATGTGGACTCGTTACCCTTTCAGGCAAGCTTGCTGATCTAACAAAAACCCTTAGGACTTTTAAGTGGTTTGAGTCAACTTAAAATACAGATAATTGTATGCAGTTTTACTGTTTGTTGCTGTGGCAGTCTGTTGTTATGTTTGACAGTTTTAAAACACTTTTCTCTCCATGTTTCTGTGGCAGTCTGTTGTTATGTTTGACAGTTTTAAAACACCTTTCTCACCATGTTTCTGTGGCAGTCTGTTGTTATGTTTGACAGTTTTAAAACACTTTTCTCACCATGTTTCTGTGGCAGTCTGTTGTTATGTTTGACAGTTTTAAAACACCTTTCTCACCATGTTTCTGTGGCAGTCTGTTGTTATGTTTGACAGTTTTAAAACACTTTTCTCACCCTGTTGCTGTGGCAGTCTGTTGTTATGTTTGACAGTTTTAAAACACTTTTCTCACCATGTTTCTGTGGCAGTCTGTTGTTATGTTTGACAGTTTTAAAACCCCTTTCTCACCATGTTTCTGTGGCAGTCTGTTGTTATGTTTGACAGTTTTAAAACACTTTTCTCACCCTGTTGCTGTGGCAGTCTGTTGTTATGTTTGACAGTTTTAAAACACTTTTCTCACCATGTTTCTGTGGCAGTCTGTTATTATGTTTGATAGTTTGAGTGTATGCAGGACTCGGAGCAGCTGAGGTCAGTGTACAACGTGGAGGCGCTTGGCTGGTGTCTGGTGATGGGCGTGTTCCTACTCAGGTTCATGACCCTGGGGACCAAGATCAACCGGAAGTATCGCAATCTGTCTGTCCTCATCACGGAACAGGTGGGGTCAAGTGGTTACAAAATCTTTGATTTACTTTAACCCATTTCAGTTTCTCAATAGTACCTTAGAATAAGGAAATGTATATTGCATTTCCATGTATAAGTAGTATTGACTTTTGAATACTAAAGTAGAGATACTTTTTATAAAAACCGTTATTTAGTAGGTAAACTATTGTTTATCAGAATATGGATTTATATTATTTATACATTGTTAAAATTGAGACTGATTTTTCTTAGCCTTAAATATCAAATTATGGAAGTACTACAGATTCTTAAAGCACCTAGCCTATAGTAATAATTTTCAATTGTTTTCTGTTCCAGATAAATTTGTATCTGCAGATTGAACAAAAACCAAACAAGAAGGAGGAACTGATGGTGGCCAACAGTGTTTTAAAGCTGGCTGCTGATTTGTTGAAGGTAAGTCAGTTAATTTGTAAACCCACAGTGTCATTAACCCTTCAAGGCAGTTTGACAAGCCTTCCTTGTCAAACTGGAAAAAGACACTTCTTCAGTTTGTTTTAACATACCTACTTTACTCTTATTTCTTACTAAATGTTGTTGAATTTCAAACAAAAATGAATAGTCCTTGCTGCCTTGTGACTTACTTGACATACAAAATTAATTGTCGGATAGTAAAGATAATTGGAGTAAGAAAGACTATTGGACTATTGGATAGGAAGACTTATTAAACGATGAAAGCAAGACGTAGAGGAAAGAAAAGACGAGGCAAGACGTACGGGTTTAAGAAAATTTAATTTTAGGCCATTAATATACGGACGCTAAATACGTTGCGTTAATGCGTCGTGTTAATGCTAAGGTGCGCATTATTAATTCAGATTATACGAACGCAAAATGCGTCGTGCTGTTTTTAAGTCAACCCGCATGGCCAGACTATACAAGCGCAAAAACCACCACAGTGCTTCCCAGATTACTCACTCACGGCTCAAGCCAGCGCGCAACGCATCTATCGTCCGTATAGTCTAGCCTCTAGCGTTGTGCAGCGGTATCTACGTTGCGATGCTAGCATTTTTTTTCCAGGGCTGGTCGCGTAAAATGTGTCAATGGCAATTTTGGAGGGCGTCGCGTAGACTGCACTCGTATAGTCGTTCCAATTGACTTGCATTGCCATCCAAAATGAAAAATAGCGCAGCATATTTAACGTGCATTTAGCGTCCGTATAGTATGGGCCTAAGGGGATGTAAAGGGAAGGCAAAAGAGATAAATGATGAGAGATGCAACTGTAGCGCCAAGGGGTAAGGAAATAAAATTGTCTAAGGAAATGAAAGAAATGTTAAATATGCCTACATGATTGTTTTACGTTTGAATGTCCCACTAAGATTTAAGCCCACCAGTCACTGTATGCACTATAAATTAATGTTAGTTTTAACATTTCTGTCATATTACGTACAATCAGTAAAAAAAATGTTTTGTATGGTAAGTTATACTAGTCTTTGAACACAAAATTGATTTTTTGTTGTTGTTTAGGAACTGGAAAGTCCTTTTAAAATATCTGGTTTGTCGGCCAACCCGTACCTCTACACCATCACCAAAGTAGTCATTCTCTCCGCTCTATCAGGAGTGCTCTCAGAAATGCTCGGCTTCAAACTGAAACTACACAAAATCAAAATAAAGTAAATCACCATATGTTTGCAGTCATTATAGCTGTTAGCTCGGTCTTTCTTAGTTGTAGTTGAATCATTGTGATCAATGCTGACTATGTATAATTTAAGTAGTTATTTTGTGGTATCTCCTTTGACTAAGGATAGAACTGGACATACCGTTCCCATCTGAAGTTGTAGCCAGTTTTATAATTAATATGAACAAAGTTGAAAGAAGCCATTAGAAGTGTGAGCTGATGGAACAAACACTTTTGGAGGGAAAATAATTATAGACTTTACACTCTGCGAGTGGTTTATTCAACTATGTTCCTTTTAAATAAAAATAGCAACAGTTGGTCCATATAGATGGGATGTCCACTTCAGAATCCAAAGTCAATAGTAACACAATATATGGATTCTACAAATATCTGTAGGTTATGAGCGTTGATTACATGATATTTTATACAATATGTTGATGTTTATTTTGTGATCTTTTTATTATAGATACTTAATTTTAATTTATTTCTGTAGTTTTAAGAGAGGTAATTATAGAAGGTTTAGAAAGAGTTACTGGTGCTCATGAGTTGGTTTCATCATGTTTCTTTATTTTAAGTTATATTTTTACCACACACAAGACTAAAACTTTTATTATAATTTTGAAAACTTATTTACTATTTATAAGCCTCTATCCTCTTTAAGGGTGTTTTATTATTTAACCCAACATATTTTTCAATGTTTAAACTTTCAATTTGAGCATTAATATTTTTATTTCCCAAATATTAACAATATTTAAATTACTGGTATGATGTTGAAGATTAAATCATTTTAGCTACATAAAAAAAAAAATATTTTACATTAATAGTCTGGGTATAGAGACTGATAGATGGGTGCTGGACGAGTATTCGAATACAAAAATGTATTTTTTACATGATTAATCTCATAAAACTATGCCTTGTAATAAATCTTTCTAATTTATGTGTAAATAATTTTTAAATAATAAATGTTTTAATTAAAAAGATGTTTATTAATTCAGTACTGTTTTTTGACATTTAGTAAGCATGTGTTAAAACTGTTAAAAGTTGATTGATTTGAGGTTATATAAGAATACTGCCTTTATGATAAACTTGTTGGTTGCTAGGCATTACGTTTTCTGTATGTGTGCTTTATACAAACTAATGAGACAGTAATTAAGTGGTGCAATCTTCATAGTTCACTCATTCAAGTCAAGCTACGTTATAGTAAAGAATGTAAAGTTAATGTACGTAATAATGTTTAGTTTTAGGTAGGTTTAATTGATATTGAAAGGTTTTACCTGTCAGTTAACACTAAGTTTTTTATACAGGGTTTCTTTCCACATTTTGTTTGTCATAATTTGTGCCATTGATTCAGTAACATTTTTGAATTAAGATGTGAAATTATTTAATCGTTTCAGATGAGTTAAGAATACTAAAGGCTAATGAAGTTTAGGCTTTAAAGCTACACTACATTGGATTGGAAGCATTGGATTGTGTATACAGGGTGTCCCGTAAGTAAACAGCCAAACACCGGGAAATGGTTCTATGGGTCAAAATAAAAAGAAATCAAGAAACACATTTTTTCAAAAATCGCTAAACACATTTTTTCAAAAATTGCTTTATTAACCACATATCCACCATTTTGTATTTTTTACATAAACATATTTATTTTTGAGTTTTTTCAACCAATCTTTATAAAACTTGGTATGTAGGTTAAGGTAGAAAAGACCTATTTTAGAAAAGAAAATTCATCTTAATTCAACTTAAAATTTCAAAATGGCGACCATTTTAATTTTTTTAACTAAAATTACTCAAAAACGGCTAATTTTATGAAAAAATGTGAATTACATTTTTATTTAGCATTTTTAATTCCCTATCAAACGATACCAAGTCCAAGAAGATTGAATAAGAAATACCTGAAATATTACCATTTTTAGTTGAAAAATGGGGTAGAATACAGAAGCTAGTCAGGTTGCCCCTTTTTACAACTAAAAATCGTAATATTTCAGCTAATTCTTATTCGATCTTGGTATCGTTTGATTAATTAAATTAGCTAAATATAAGTGCTCTTGGCACTTTTTCATAAAATCAGCCGTTTTTGAGTAATTTAAGTTTAAAAAATTAAAATGGCCGCCATTTTGAAATTTTAAGTTGAATCAAGATGATTTTTTTTTTACATTGGTCTTTTCTACTTCAACCTATATACAAAGTTTTATAAAGATTGGTTGAAAAAACTAGAAAATAAAAATGTTTATGTAAAAAATACAAAATGGCGGATATCTGGTTAACAAAGCGATTTTGGAAAAACAATTATGCTTGATTTTCTCTTTATTTTGACCCATAGAACCATTTCCCGGAGTTTGGCTGTTTACTTATGGGACACCCTGTATATTACTACAGCCTGCTGAGCATTTAATGGAACTATCTGAACAAAAACATTATCACCACACTGTCCACACTACCCAGTAAGCAGCTAGATTCTGGTTTCATTGTAGACCAAAAAGTGGTTGTTCACTGAAAGGGATCAGTAAAAAGAGCTGAAGTAGGTAAATCGACTGGAGATTGGTAAATTTACCTAGCACTCTTATGGGGAAAATAATGGGAGTTTCTTCAGCAGGCTTCCAATGAAGCTACCCTATATTAGATAGGTTTGGACAGGCACACTGCAATTCCACAACAATCACAAAACTAAAACACTTTGTTTCACTATATAACAATTTAAAAATTATGTTAAAATGTTTTAAATTAGTGCTAGTAGTAGTTTTCTGTTACAGTGTTGTGATTGTTTGTGTACAATGAGTTTTACTTATACATTTTTTGCTAGTAGTGTGGTGGAAAGTATCATGCACGATTCACTCCAGAAGGTATTTTACGATACTTGCATGAAATCCCACGTTCGGCAAGCCTTGTACAGAAACTATTATGCTTTCGTGTAACATACTTACTTATTTAGCTTGTAGCATGATAATTTATTCAAAATACATCATCCAAAGTAACCCTGTATAATAAAAGCACATTCACATATTCTATAGTAAAAATCAAAATAAGAAAAGACAGTACATTTTAAATTTATAAGTTGTGTACCTCTACATTAGATATAGGAGATAGTTTGATTAATTTATTGTGTTCTATGCTAGAAACAATAATTGCATGCAAGAAGTACAATAAAATGGAATAGTTTTTACCTTGCTATTTTAAATGTAAAAATTTAGATCTGAAAAAGGAGTTCGGATCACCTTAAGGTTGGATAATATATGTTAATATGTTGCAAATTTGAAAAATCCTTAAAATATATTCAAGGAACCTTTTACAGTTTTTAGCATTTAAGACAACTTATTTGGTTTTTGATTAGACCTTAAACGTTTTCAATCTATTTTATTCACAACACAATAAAGGTTTTAATATTACTGAAATAAAAATTGATTTAAGTCAACAAGTTATTATGAGGGAGATTGGGATTTGTATGTATTTTATTGATCAGTACAAATAAAGAATTTACATTGTTTTTAGCTTGGAAATAGTTTTAGAACAATAATACTGTATTACAATTCCCATTATTGACTTAACTAGAACCCAACAACAAAATATAGAATTTGTAGTTACAAGTTTGTTGTAAACTGTGGATTAACTTAATCCAGATTTTATGTTGATAAATAATATAAATTAGACTCCTTAATCATTTTTTTTGCTATTAAAAATTACATCCATTCGAACTCTAAATTTGTATATTATTAATCGTGGAAACTAGCTCCTTAGCTATCGGTTTGTGGATACTAGATACTTCTACAGTGAATTATAGCTATATTGAAATATTAGTTGACTGTTACTGTTAGTTAATAGAATGGATTTAAAATAATAATCATAAATCTTAGAGGTTTACATTAAAATCACAAGGAGTATTTATAAACTTAAACTCATGTTTGTTATCAGTTGTAAAAGTTATAGCTCTCCAATTGTGTTAATACATCAAAGATCATCTGAATTTTTGTCATGTGCAAAAATATGTTAAATATCTTTCAAATGAACTCTCTCCAAATTAATTAATTAATTTAGGCCTATGTTAAAATCATGTCAAATAGTCTGTACTATCTATTTTTTTAATAGTTAAATTACTGTTACAAGAAGTAACTAAAATTTAACAGTTTACACAAGTTTTTTTGTTGTTGTTTTGTATAGATTAAGTTGTGTGTATCTTTAGAAAGAACGCAGACTGTTCAATAATTCTACCTAGAAAATTATAGATGTCTCATGCTTGGGTAAAAATCAAATAATTTTTGTATTTGCTTTTTTATCCAAACAACTTAATTTAGATTTCATGTTATGGCTCGTTTATTTTGACAAACTTAACACGTTTAGAGAAACGGAATGTTAAATCTGCTTACAGTTTTTAATTTTTATCAGTCTTATTGTTGTAATGTCACATTTTTCAACTTTAAAATTAATATTAATTAGCATTCTGCAACTATAATACAGCAAACAATACAATGTTTGTGTCACTATGCTGTTATTCTGTTTGCCATATAGAATTTCTATTAGTTAATCATTTGAAACAGCCATGTTAAGAAAGTTTGAGATTTTATTGCTGTTTGTTTAAGTAGTAGGAAATGTTTTCTCAGACAATATAGTTATATACCATACTATTTTGTAATTTTATGAGTTGTTATGCATAAGGAGACTTACGTTTTTAAGTTTAGTCCTATTTTATTACCTTAGTACACGGTTTCCCCGTTTTCGTGTTAGTAAATAATTTGTTAGTTAGGTAATTAATTTCGTTTATTTATTTAGTACTTTTGTTGATTCCGGAATTAAATATTTTTATAAATGACATTAAACATTGAGATCTACCTTTTTATTCAAACCCTTATTTCTTTTGGCCTGAAGTATTTTGTAGAGGATAAGTTGAGTATCATATTTATTCAACAAGATTTGCACGATAAAGTACAAAAGCAAAATATTTGTTGTAATTTGAACTATGATTCAGCCAACGGTCATGGATGATGATGAAGAATTTGAGCCTCTGATTAAACCATCAAATAAGTAACTAATTTAGAACACAAATATAATATCATACATGCAGAAGTACCCATCTTGAAGAATCTTCTGTCCTACAGAAATCGTAAAGTCCTGGCATTCCCTTCACAAGTCTCCCCACTCGAAAAATAGTTGATAAACTAGCGTCTTAATTATAGTTACTTTGTGATATGGTTTCAAGAATAATTGTTTTGAGTTGTAATACCACTGTAAATATTAATTTAGAAAATATTAAAGACTGTCTTGACCGACAACCCACCTTCAATTCAGCTAGTTGATTTCATGAAATTTGAAATTTATTAGTGACATTTTGTAGCAGGAAGGCTGGGCTAAAGAGTGATTGAAAGGCTCACCTAGTACCTTGCATTCTCACACTGAAAGGTCTATAGTGTTTCTCAATCAAGAGGAAGAAGTTTTCTTCTTAGTTTTGTTTGCTCACTCGTATAGGCCTCAGGGTCAATGTATGGATTGCACAAAAGAGACCAGTAACAATGAACAGATCTAAACAAATTTTATAGGTACTACTGAGAAGTGAACTCACAACATAGTTCCATGGTTATGCACTATGCAGTGTATTCCAATATCAACTAAGTGATTAACCAAAGTTTTAAAATAATTTACCCTATAACATCCTAAAAGCAAGATAGGGCTTAATCGCCTTTCAACCAGCTTGAATTAAATCCAGAATGACTTGAAATTAAGAAAGTCAATGCTTAATTTCACTGAACCCGCCACCAAGTGTTCAAGTTCAAATTTCCATTCAAGCTACAAACAGTAAAACATAAACAAATTATGTCACTGACCCGGAAGTGAACATGTTTGTATTTATAATTAAAATGAAAAAACCTCCAAACCATGTTAACGTACAAGACTACAAGATCGCGCCACTCATCCTACACTAATCTCCATTCATACTTTGCTTAAAATACCTACTATGTATGGTCGCCATTTCGTTGAACAGTATTAACAGTATTAGAATTTGTTCACAAAATCTAGGCGGTTTGAGGGGAAGGTTTTCTGGGTCACCCACCAATCTTTTTAGCTTATTGTATATATCAGTTGATCAGTTGGCGGCTGTTTCATTGTTAGGGTGAAGTGGAGGGGATGGAATCACTTCCCCTCAAACCGCCTAAATTTTATGAACAAAGTAGGCCTACAGTACAAATTCCAGCCAGTAACGTCATTTCTCATGTTTATGATCCATGCCGTTTCTGTTGCAATATCCTTGCTCCATGCCAAATAAAAATTGCTTTTATAATGCTAATTCTCATTCTCGATTAAATTATTTTATGATCTTGATACAGTATACTTTGGAATATGACAACGAGGGGACAACCACCATAAATTCTATGATAGAGGTGTGTAAGGAGCAACTTTAAAACACTCATACTTTCAAGTCAATACATACATTTTATTGCATCGACACCAACGTGTTACGAGCAGTAACACTCACACGCATTTACAGGAAATATTTATAAGGCGTAAAGCCTATTACCTGCAGACATGTTATGTGTAACAAATCCAACAGGGAGCCGACTAAAACATTATGCTCCATGTATTTTATCAATGTAATAACAGCAACACTTCAAAATAAATTAAACCACACAAAAACTCACCAGTGATTTTTTATTTAACAAAAATACTGAACATAATGTAAATATTGTGCGTTTGTGTGGGATTTATAGGTTATAGAACATTTAAAGATTGTTAATTGATGTAGGATATTCTTAGGTTCTAGAATCCATACGTAAAAGACAATACAGAATTGTAATTGATAGATTTACTTCATAATATTGAATGTACTGTTTCAAAAGACATTCGACAATATGAATCCTAAATTTTTATACCCTGTGTTTCCAAAATGTTACACTAAAAGTCAATCTGTTAGAGGTGTGATTGTTGAATATTTTAAATTACCAACATAAGAATTTATGTCTCACAAAAACACTTTCCATGCTTAAATTAGTCTATATGTTTATTGTTTACCTATTATAATTTCTACCAACTTAAGAGTGTTTATTATATAGAAATTCACAAATTTTCATTAAACAAGACCGACCACTTGCCTACATGTGAGGTCCAAAATGACAGAATTACTTAAAATAAGAAGTTACAAATTATAGATAGAATTCTTATCTGGCAAGAGTAAGCATAAATTATTCTAGGGTAAAGAAATTAATTAAATTAGATACAGAAGGCAAGATTCAGTAAGTTAGATTAAATTAAATATATAATATTTTGCCACATTTTTTTACAAACTGATTGATCTTAGAAAGTTCATAAATAGACATCAGTTTAATAATATTTAGTAAAATAGTTACTCTACTGGTGTTCTATGTTTGAAATAAACTCAAACACTTCTTTATTTATACCACATAAGAGGAAAGTGTAGGAAGCACCATTGAAGATCACTCAACTTTTGAACTTCTATAAAATACAATATAGTAAACTCTAGTTATATAGAAACTTAAAACATTAACAACAAACTAGTTTAACAAATATTAATAAACTTATTATCTGAACTAATATAAACCTTGACTATAAACCATTCTTTGTACAATACAGTAATCTCAATGATAAAAACTAGTTTGTGAAGTATAGCTTTCGAACAAAATTAAAAATAATTAAACGTAATAATGTGTTATTACAGTTTACAATTAACAATATTAATAAGCTAGAAATAAAATTGTGCTGAAAATCTGTAACTTGAAGTAAGTTATCTATAGTTTAAGAATATATTTTTTTAAATCTAGACTTACTGGTACTTAAAACTTTATATGTTTAAATATAGCTTCTATGAAAATATATACTTTCAAGTAGAAAACCTATGCATAATTGGTAAGTAGTTATGGATTGTCTACACAAATGCATTTTAGAGCAGTGAACAACTGAAAACATTAAATGTTAACATTCTTGACCTTAGACAAGACATTGACCTCTTGAGAAAAATTGTAATTTTGGTACCTATACCATTTTTAAACATTGTGTTCCTAATATGGTGTGTAAGCTTCAAAGGGTATTTTTTGAAAAAAAAAATATAAAAATATGATTAATTAACTGTCTTGGCATCATAATAAATTACAGTTTTTCCCGCTAAACATGATTTTATCTACATGCCATTTCTTTACAGATTCATTTTCTATGTAAGTATTTGAAGAAACTAGAATAGCCTCCTTAGTAATTTATATTACTACATATTAATTATATTAATGATTAATATAATTACTATATTAATTTTGTTAAATTAATTATTAATTATATTAATTATACATATAAAACTCACATTTCACTGATCAAATTTTACTATGGAGATTATTTGAAACTTCAATTATAAGATATTAGAAACATAAAATAAACCACAATACTTGTTTGCGAATGCACTCAATTAAGAAATCATTTTTATGATTTATTTAGATTGTCATAAATAAAATATTTTTTGTACGGTAACTTTAAATCCAATTTTTATTATTAACCACAATGATGGTTCACATAGTACTTTGACTAGCATATAAATTGATTTTTAAAGGAGAATATGCATTTGAATTTTCCTAATACCGCCAATTGCTTTTGTGCCACTTTGACCAATACTTGCTGTCAACCCAGGTACCCTTCCCTTAAACCGCCAACATTTTTTGAACGGACTAGTACGGATGGTCAATGCTATAACATTTTGATGAAAACAATGGCAGACTTTTATTACCAGGTAAGCAATTGGGTAGGTGCATCTTGAGCCCAAGATAACAACAGTTTGTGATTGTAATTCAAATTTAATAGTTTGACTCAATGACATTCATTGCGATAAAAATTTACATCTTCTCCCAAGGAAATTTTATTTTATTGCTTCTACCTTCCAAAGTACAGGATTCAAAATCCTACACATTCTTCTATCTTCACCTATATGGTGTACCTACATTTACGAATAAAAATAGCAAAATATAGGAGCTTTGTACAGTGTACAGGTATACACACATCACAGATAAAGGAGCGAGGTGGTGGACAAACATCGGGATACACCAAACTCACGATTAATCAAACAGCCGCAAGGCGAAATACATCTGTCCTTATATCTCGTAGTTTCGGAATTTACTGACGACATCATTGGGAGTGTCAGATTTCCAGCCGGAGGTTTGTCGTCCGCCCCAGTGTATGTTCGCTCCACCTTCAGACGCACGTCGACTGGCCGAGGGCGGTAGTCGTGATGCAGACGACGCACCTGCAGCTACTCCTTCACCAGCTGTCTCTGGTAACATCCTGTCCTTCGTCTTGTAAGAGGTCCAGTGCATTGACTGCAACAAAATTATGGTTAAACTTCAAAATGAATTAAGTTTTAGGAAAGTTTGTCTGAAAACAATAGTGGACACCTTATCATGATTCGGTCTGTATATTGTTAAAAAACCCGTTTAACTTTTATTATTTAAAGCTACTGGAGTTCATTGATCATAATTTTGTCATTTAAATCTTGGTTATTTTTTATTCAAAGGTTAAGTATTTATCTGACTATGAATGAAACAAGGGTTCAAGCATTGAGTGGAATTAACAAAAGAACTTTGCACCAGTATAAATCCATCTAAAAGCCTTATTTATCCTCCATTACTAAAAGTTTTATCCTAAAGATATCTTAGCATGTTAAAAACTGCATTACAGCGCTACATTTTACCTGCCTCCAGCAATTTGCAGTACATTGGTACCTGATCTATTAAATGGGGATATATTTTGAATATTTCAATGGACATTGTCAGCTTCTTTTTCCACGACATGCTTCTTGATGAATTTTATCAAAGGACAAAACTAGAAGATGAATAAAATTTTCTTGTCCTTTATAGTTAAAACAACTTTAAAGTATAAATAAATTGAAATTAAATAGTGTAAGATGTTTGTAGAGTTAGACATGATCAATGATTTAAAACCATACTTTACCTGATGTACATGTTCCTTCATGCCAAGCCACTGCTTATAGCTGATGGAGATTCCGCTGTGTCGCCATTTATCGTAGTTTGCTCTCTTCTCTGGATCACATAGAATCTCTTTTGCTTCCTGTAAAGTTGTATAAACTGTACAAATCCAAATAAACAACCAATCATTTTTATATGTGGATAGTAGAAAATGTTACTCTTATAAAAACTATAAATTAATTTAAAATGTAGGGAACTTAAAAATTACAAACGTCACATATAGGGGCGAATATAAGGGGGGCCCAGATCTATAAAATAATTAACACAAGAAATAAGAAAGTACCACAATAGATATATTTTTCATGATTTGTCAACAATAAAATATAGTGATCTAGGTGAATTTAAAGTGGCATTCAGCGGAAAATTATTTTAAGGGAATATTTATTGAACATTCAAAGAGGTAAATGAACATTCGCTTAGTCTGCAGGTTTGCTGGGACATGGGTATTTTTCTTTATAGATGGATTACTAACCACCAAGGTCATGATACTACAATTATTTACTGTTGGTGATTGGAGGGATTCGAACCCAAGTTCCCAGGAGAGAGGTCCTAAGCTCCAAACACTAGCCCAGCCTCACATTGTTTACAGAATATAATTTAATGTATTGGTTTTCATAGAGTATTTTTACTATTAAAAAAATCCAAAATCTCATTCTCCATAATAACTTAGTTATCTTATCTAAATTGGCTGGTCAATAGCATTTAGTGAAAGACTCAGTGTTCTATAATTGTGGTAACATCTCCTTGACATTGCATCAACTGTAAGAGTAGTTGAGTATTATCAAGTTAAAAAGTGTATCGTTTACCTAACCTTTTCTTTTAACAGTTGTTTGAAAAAAGTTTTGAATAAGATACCTAGCCTATTAAAAAAATAGGCTACACCTACAAATGGTTACTACTGTTTAATTTTGTCACAAAATTTACACAATTTGATAAATTTGGTTCCAAAAAAATTATCACCTAAACATTTAACTGCGACCATGGACATATTTGGCTCACATCAAGTAAATGAGTTCACTTGAGGAAATTTTCATAAAGCAAACATCGTTCTTTGACGATAACTCTCAAATTTTGATCAAACCTCTAAAGCGGCTTCTATTTGGTTGAGTTCACAAACCAGCTCAGTCTGACCAAGGGAAAGGGTTTATTTGAGATTGGGGAGTCTATAATATTTTTAAAAAATAATGTGTGGACTTGGTTAAGGAAGGCGCTCTTTTGTGAATTTCTGTAAAAAACGAGTAAAGTGTTTTCTTTTATACAAAATATTTTATAAAATTATAATACTTAATATTTTAATCTTATTTAACTGCCAGTGACCTTTTTTACATGCATCAACCAAGATGTACTGTGTAGTTGTGTTAAAAATATAAATGCATTTAGTGTGGAATGAGTGGGTCCAATATACCAAAACCAGCTAACTTTCACGCAAGATTATTAGTTGGTGGAAAATTACAGAAAAAGATCAGGAAACAGATAAAATATGCTTTTATTTATGCAATTTTTTAGTAGGATTGTGAAAGATAATTTAATTTTTTTTTTATATTTAGTCTTTGGAATTTCTGCATGTGTAGCCTATATTTGTTCAAAGTTGTTGAAGGCCTATGATTGAATTTTTTAAACATGCAGTTAAGCTTTTTATTTACAAACTTCTTATTACTTAGGTTACATATATTACAGAAATTCATATCGTATGTTAATATTAATACCCCCGCCGCAGCAAACCTGCAGACTAAGCGAATTTCCATTTCCCTAAATGGATTTACACTAAAATGTCTCCTTAAAAATATCACATTTATTCCCTATTTAAATAGAATCAGTTTAAAACATACTTAGGTTTGCTGCAACAGGGAGGGTAAAAGTGTTTTTTTATGTAAAATGTTAATAGTTAGTAAGAAATAAAAACATTTTCCAAATTTGGGCAAAATATGTTTATAAACAAGCAAACTACAACAGTTTACTTATTCTCCATAAGAATAACATGGGAATTTTAAATTTACAATTTTTTGGAATTTTCTCCGTAACCATTAGGCGCATTATAACGCTTCAATATACTAAATTATTTGTTTTTTTAAGCTCTACAAAATAGTTTCGAAAGAAATTGCAAAATTTTATGTTTTTTGGGTCAAAAATGGGAAAAACCCATTTTTACCCCATAAAAGCCCCCATAAACCCCCGTTCCCATGGTCCGATCATGCTGGTTCGCGAACTTGTTTGAATAAACGTAGGTTTACACGTTTGTACCAAATTTCATCAAAATCGGATCATTTTTGCTCGAGTTATCGCGCTAACGGACACATATATATATATATATATATATAAATATATATATATATATGAATTTGAACGGATGGTGTTTTTGACCTCTAGGGACCTCAAAACGAAAAAAAAAATCGGTCCCGGGTCCAGGTCTTACCGTGAGTACTACGGTAATAGCTTATTCCCTATATGGGAAATTCGCTAAAATTAAAGTTGTATAGGAACAACAGTACATTAGATTTTAAATATTTGGTATAAGTTTCTAATGAAAGAATAAAGAGTATTTCAAAAACAAGTTTACCTTCAGTTGTTGAAACTTGGCTTCAGCTTCCTTGTTTCCTTCATTCTTGTCAGGATGGTATTGCAGGGCCAACACTTTGTACTCTGCTGTTATTTGTTCTTCCTGTAGTAAAGAAAAATACAGTCAGATATCAATTTGATATTCATACAAGTAAGATTAGAATTTAGAGAGACAGTACTATTAAAATATAAATACTTAATGACCATCAACAACAGAGCCCTGTTAAATACAACGGTCTCTAGAAAAATAATGGGTATGAAATCCGTACACCATACTAATTAATAAATTAATCAATAATAATTAATGTTACAGAATAAGCACATAGCTTTAGAAATACACACATAACATAAAGAACACACTTTAACCACAAAATAACAAAGACAAATCATGGAAATAAATAACAATACAACAATTAAATCAGCTGGTTAAATCGTGTAAAGATAGTCTTTAAGACACAATTAGAAAATTAAAGTAAGAGCCTTGGCGAGTGCATTTAAAACTTTTACGAGTGTCTTAAAGGCTAATTACCACGCGAGTTGCGTACACTACTTTACCTACGACAGTTTTTAATTACTAACGATCACTACTGATAACGTCTAAAGAGAGGTTATGTGTTAGTTTATAACCTCTCATTGCCACTGATTCTGATGCAAAGACTCAATGTCCCAACCAGAACCACTCACTCATTGTATATTAAATAAAATTGGTCTTTACAGCTGATAGGTTGACATTCAAAGCATTGCAAATTTACATCTTTCTTTCTTAATCCTTGATCGTCATTAGTCCATTACTCGTATTGTTAAGAAAAACAAAGCTGTCAAGAAGTCTTTTTGCAAATAACTTTTAAATGGTAAAGAATTCGACCAAGGTATGGACGGTGTTATTCTGAATTAGAATAACATTTCCTACAAATTACTATTATGCATTTTTTTTTAAATACTCAATAAAGGCAGCCAAAAGTTGCTTCCAAATATATAATGTTTAACCCCCGTTTTCAATGTGTTTTTCTTATGGAAAACATTTTTTTCACCATACATTTGAACAAAAGCAAACTTTCATAATTAATTATTTGAAAATCTACAGGGAGTGAGCTTTCCAGCGAAAGCTTTTTTATTAATTAAACAAATCGGTCCACTAGAACTGTCAATTAAGCTGTACCTTTTTACTATTTTACTTCAGTATCCAATAGTCAATGGTTGTACAAAGATTTTCAAAACGGAATTATTATAAGAGTAGATTTAACTCCTCTTAAGTGTTTTCATATGATAATAACAGTAATAAAAGTGTTGAGTGGATGCCTCATAGTATAGTTGTAAAAGAGTTCTAAAAATACTAATTAGCAATAAGCATTTGTATTTGATTGAAAGAAAAACTGTTAATATTACTGAAGAGAATTTGTGATACAATCATTTTAGTTGGAGTAATAGTACTGTATAGTTATAGTCCATGTATTACGCAGATGTTTCTATTACATAACATGGCATCTCGTGGTTCTAGAACCCCCATTGTTAATAGCGTTAATACTGTACAGTACTAGTTATTGAAAATTTTAAATCTATGTATTAATACGCAATACTAGACAACAAATTGTTTGTAATAGTTGAATAATTTATTTACTTTGCATCGTATTTTACTGAATTATCATATTGTAATTTTGTGTGATGGAGTGAATGTTTAAAAGTGATTATTCACAGTGCAGTTACCCTCTACATTACCATTTTATCATGGAATTTACAATGTGTATCAAAAATCCTTTACAGTGTTTTATGTTGTTTGGTTAACCTTCGTATTTTATTTGAATTTAAAATTAAATGCCACCAGAAAGACCAAGAACTGTTACAAGTGGCTGGAGGGAGCGAACGTGACCGCTTGCATCAACCTCCCAATGGAACATTTGACGGATACAGAGTGGCAGTAGGCCTACCACCGTGGTGATACATCCAACCTTGGACAAATAAACACTAAAAGTTTACAATGTCGTGGCTTACATTTTAAGCATGAAAAGACTGGCTGAGACGGTTAGATTATTACTCTTTGTTGCCATAAATGAAAGGTTCGTTTTTTGCGGAATTTACCATACTTTCAGGAACTTATTTGGAAATTCCCAATCCGAAAACAGGGATCCCTAAATCATTTGAATACAATTCGTCAATTAAATTCCGCCTTTGCGATGGTCAGCTCTCAAGCTCATTGATGAGAGGATCTACAATTTCAAGATCCATTATACGTTTTGCCACCGAGTACGTCCTCTACTTCCTCAATAAGGCCATGATCCTTAATACTCACAGATGTATAAGTACGACGTTGGCCCTGGAACCTAACAGAGCATCAACACAATTCAAACAAAAAACTCAATTAAAAAATATGCGGGAAATAAGGTCACAATGCCAAACCATTTGCCCAATCTTTTAAGACTGTGGAAGAAATTTGTAGGGACGAGAGCTCCGAGGAGTCAAGTGAAATTCTGATGCACATAATAAGAGACAAAATTCCCTCGCTACAATGATGCTACCTGTTAGATGTCGCAGCTATTTTTAAAGCTCAAAACAGAGCACCACCTGGCCAAATAAATCATAGTTTTTTCACTAATCATGTTAAAAGCGTATTCATTCTAGATCCGTCGTTAGATCCACTTGCTTGCCCTTTCATTTTCCCAACCGGAGACTTTGGTTGGGGCCCCTAATTTAAACACGCATGAAACATAACATATCGTAGAAATAATTTAACTATGCTATAGAACGTGTCGTACTGGTTGGTGTCAAGAGATGTATTTAGCCATTTTAGCTTACTACATTATGTCTGAAAAGCTCACTTAACAGTGTGTGGTTGTCATCTACTTGCTCATAGAGTGCACCCGCCTACTGTACAAAGAGATAACATAACCAAAGCAGTATGAGACCGGATCCATATTTCAATATTGTAGATTACTTATAAAATTTTTTACAACATAATATATTTCAAATTTATATAATCAGTCATAGAAATTACTTTAGAGTGACTCTTTGATTGAGCTCTTGCTGTTTATGTTTTTGGTCTATATTCTCTTATTACAAGTAGCATTTTTGCTCGATTTCGAACATTGGGCTATCTAGTAATTTATCAATACAACAACTGTTGTGCTCACTGTAACAGAAGACCTAACAATTATTTTATCTAATAAACTAACTCTGTGGGTACTATTTTATTTATAAGTTACAGTAGATTAAACATAGGATACTTTTTAAATATTCCTTAACTAATTTGGTTTGAAAAGAATGTTTAATGTCAACATAAACAATTTTAAGTAATAAATATGAAATTGTACAACATGAGTAAATATGAAATTGTACAACATGAGTAAATAACAAACATTTTAAATGGTTGTGTTTTGTGTTCTTTATTTCACACATTCAAATGTCGTTTAAACTAATTGAATAGTGTTATAACAAGAAATTTACAATTTTAACGAAAAATAAAAAAATCTTTAGAAAAATTGTATAACAAATTATATACGTATGCCTACTTTATTAGTATCAATTAACAAATGCATACAAATATGTAGAGGTATGGAAAGAGGTTCCGTAAACATGTGAAACCGTTATACATAAACAAAGCATTATATTTTGAAAAAGTTAATTATCTAAAATGTAAGCACACATCTATTCCTGAAGTAAGGGTTTATATTTAAATCAAGGATTCACTTACTAGATAGTTTTAACTGTATGTTGAGTACTAAATAAGTGAGATTTAAGGAGGAGTCAGTGAGAATGCTTCGCACGGGTGAGCTAGTAACATTTAGTCTCTTTTTATAAGAGGTCTCATTTCGATTAATTATAACAAGTTTACTGGTAGCGGAAACTAGAGAATTACTAGAGAATATACCGGTTCCTACCATCAAATTAAAAAAAAAATATATTCCCTAACTTAAATTAAAATAAGTTTGGCAGCATCGTATGACGTGTGATAAACGAATAATTAAAAGGTTTCAAGGTTATCAATAATCTAAAATACTTTTAAAATCCAATAATATAGCGATGTAAACAGCTTTATCTCGACAAAACAAAACACAACTGATAAGTAGGCGTCCTACCAATATAGTACATAAACAAAGCATTCAATGTAGCAAATTTCAAAGTGAATCAAGCAAACAAGGAAAATTCAACAGGTAGTGTTTGTAAACAAGATTATAGCATATCGTGGTAGTAAACTTCTTCAGCATCTCTTCAACAATTACTTCCGTACTTCTTGCGTGTAATAAAAATTCATATTTTTTTATAAAATTTCTACGATACATTTGCAAACTACAATCTGTTTTATACCTAAGAATTTCCGGAATCAATACGTCCTAGTATAATCTTTCACCAACTTAAGATCTAAAACTGGTGTTTACCGTTGCGTTCTCGTCACATCCCAGGATTCCGTAGAGGTCTTCCTCTTCCTTCTTCTGGTAGTTGAGGATTCCTTCAACACTAGTCATGACTTCACAGCACTAAAGGTCTACGTATGCTTGTTATGTCCGAGGTGACGACACGGCGGAGGCTACACTGGTTGTGACTTTCACCGACGCGCGCGCCCCTAGCGGGCAGCTGTGGAGGTAGGTAACGATCCTGTCTTACCTGTTATCAATACTATCACTTGACCCTGCTGATCTCGATGGCAAAGTGACGAGAAACTGAAACTGGACGTGAACTGATTGCGGGCGTCAAATTGTGGAAATTGATTCGTTTGAGCGTTAAAATAGTAATCGCTGAAAATTTTGATTTCAAATTAGTTTATCGTGTAGGTTTGATTCTTTGACTATTTATAAAACCAATAGTCAATGGTTAAGTACACCATTGTAAAGTATAAGTTATTCAGTCTTAGGATTATTAATATCTTACCTTTTATAATGTCTTAATCTTTACCTAAGAGGGATTGATGGTGACAAAACTTTCAATTTACATAAATTACATACATTAGAACAAACTGACATAAATACAAAACACACATTTACAACTATGGCATGTGGAAAGGTGGATTAGTAATATCCGGATTAGTTCAGGAATTCCCCTTCCATTCCTTGTCTTGGTTTGTTAAACTTCTTAGTAAAAATCCTTAAAATCAAAGTGGTAAAATTGTGATGAATATTGAGGAAAGAAATCAACCGTCAAATCTATGATTTATATCAAGATAAATTATTTATGACCTTTGACACTCATGTGAAGTAGACAATTTGTGGTTGCCAAATGGAGGAATTTCCAAAGTGAATACTTTATGCCAAATGACCGAATTGCTCTTACTGGATGTTGTATGTAACACCGGTTTGCAAAAGTATGGTTATGCAATCATACGATTATTCCAACGAGTTATATTGACTTATAGGTTATATGTCATTATAATGACTTTAGCTTGCACCATATTTGATGGAAGATAATACACCACAATGATTTCCAACTGGATATCTAATATTTAAAAATTGATCACAAACATAATACACAACCTAAACGAAAAAGGAAAGTTATATTTTTAAAAACCCCCTCGTCATAATCAATGACAATCAGGTAAAACCAAAACTAAACCCAATTATTGAGAAATGATTGGGAAACTCTGACAGCAAGCCGTATTGGTTACATTCCGAGGCTGTTTTCCTGCTACTACGGTATATCGTCATAAACAATCAAAGCATATCTGTAAAATCGTTCAACCATTTCTAACACTAATTGATTTCCACAAAATTAATCTTGATATAACTTAAAACTCACTAGTCTAACATTATTATTATAATTTAGAAAGTACCTACTCGAGTTAAAATGAAAATGTTGGAAACTAATCTAGTTAAAACCTCACCAAGTCCTTGATTTGCGTGTTTTAATCCATTATCAACGTAGAGGCCAGAGGGATGTCCCTTCGCTAATAAGTTGATCTGAATAAAACATAACTTTGGCTAAATACGCACAACTTGCTGTCATTATTGTGTTATACTGTATTCTCAAATTTTCGAGGCTTGTAAACGTGTTTACCTACGACCGTTTATTAAACTAGCCGTATCAGTGCAGTTCTTATAATTGAAAAGATTCACTTTGCATAATTGTTTTGCTTAACAACTCGAATAACGGACCAATGAGGTACAAGGATTGAGAGAAAAGATGTAAGAATGTAATGCTTCGAACTTCAACTAATCAGCTGTTAAGGCCAATTTAATTGTTTGAGTGGAACAATTAGTTTTTCCTACAGTTACCTAACAATGTACATGTTCTCTCACTGATTTGAGAAAGCAAAGTGGCCAATTCGCTCATAAGTGAGACAATGTTAACATTGTCTCACTCTAATTACTTTGTCTCACTCCAGATTTGCAACGAGAAGGCACGAAATAGTGAGCGCGTAACATGCAGGCAACGTCGTATGCGCGCGAAATACGTTGGCAACACTGGCTGTAAATCATCTGGTCAGCTGATGTACTGTTGTATTTGTCACTTCACATTAAATGTTACATTAAAAATTCACTTCTGTGTAAAAATAGGTTATGTTTCTTCACCAATTTATTTGTTTTATGGTAACTGTAGGAAAAGTATAATGTGCAACTCGAGTTCAAAGTACAATTGCCTCACTCGAGAAACCATTCCTCACTCGCCTACGGCTCGTGAGTAAGGATTTCTCTCGACTCGAGTGAGTCAATTGCTCACTTTTCTCACTAGTTGCACAAATAACTATTTCGTACAATGTTTGGTTGCATGTTGCATCACTGTCAGTGGTAATGAGTGGTTATAAACGAAAACATAACCTCTCTTTGAAGAGTAGTGATTGTTAGAAATTTAAAACTGTCGTAGGTAATGTATTAGTCTACGCAAATCGTGTAAAGATAGTGTTAACGACACTCGTAGAAGATTTTAAGGCACTCGCCAGTGCTTGTATCTTTAATCTCTACTTGTGTCGTTAAAGCGATCGTTGCGTAAACTACAATAAAAACTGACGAAGGAATAATTCAATTAAATGTAACAGGAAAGAAACTGCTGGCAAGAAAGCAATGACTAATATTTTTCATTGGAGGATGTCATAAATTAATTGTTGAATTGTATACTCATCCTTCAGCAATATTTGGTAAAAATACTTACCTAGGTTGCGTCCCCTAACTGGATTGGCAATAAACCAATATATACATACACGTATTGCATTTTTTGTTACGTTTAGAACCAATTAGGATTAGTACCTTAATTTTTCAATTATCAATCATTAAGATGGGGATGCCACTTGGATAGTTTTAACCATTTATGCCTCAACTACGGTACCGATATTATATTGACACCAAGAGTACCATAACAACACCTTTACCTACACTAATGCGACAATGGTGCAACTGAGAGTAGATTGCTGGTCTGTGGCAGAGTTTGTAGAGGCCCACCCAGGAATAAACTGTGGACAGCTCTCGTCGAAGTTTACGGGACGAGTCAACTATTTTGCACTTCTGTGCAGATATTTTGCTACATTTTTCCAATTAAAATTGAGCAATGGATATAAGGAGGAGGTTTGAAACTTATCAACAGTAATTATTAGTTGATTCGTGGAAAAAGATAATTGATTGTTGTATTAGTTGACATGCCGACTTGTCCTTTGACTACCTATTAAAACACAAGTATACTAAAGTCTATAACGTTTAGAACCAATAAGGTTCAGTATTCTATTCTATACTAAGGGTGCATTCTGGGGTAAAAATCGTCAGAGTAAGCTACATTAATTTAATCATTATGAGATGGAGAAGCAACTATACGTATTTCACCCCAAACATTTATGGGACGAGGGAAATATGTCCAGTTTTGATCCATCAAAATCATTTTATCCTTTCACAGGATCATACCGGCAATCTTTCCAGGACCATAATCATCCGGCTAAAACTTACCCAGCATCGTAAACCAACATGGGTAGAACGCCTTAAACAAATTCCTTGCAATATATGCAATGTATACTGGAACTGAAATTCGCCGTAAACCCGACTGAATCGGGGCTGAATCACTCCACTCCTTGGCTAAAAAGGGAACACGAGAGTTTTTGCTCTGTCTGGCACAATATCTTGTAAGGAAATGATTGTAACAATTCAATCATGACAGTTCTTTCCTTTTTAGCAGTCATTTTTACAGATATTGTGTTATACAATTCTGACATTGAGTGTTTTAAGTTTATTGACTTTATAACACTTTGTTGTGCTTTGAAACCTACCAATAAAAGAATTTATCTAATTCATCGAAATACTATTCTTCTAGCTGCGACACTAAAAGTTAACTTTATTCCAATTATATACTTAGTATTTCAAACTTGAATCGAAGACAAATAATTCGTAATGGCTTTGAAAATATTCAATCCATCCAAGAAAACGTACATTATCACTTCATTATTTGCTATGGTGTTTCCGGACCAATTGATTGACAAATAAATAAAAGGTTAAAATTCCTGATTGTCACCTTTAGGACCCAGAAAGGTCAGGAAAAATACAATCAGTGCGTTTATGAAACATTCATTGGCTGACCGTACATCCTAAGGTCCTACTCGGTCCTACCATTGAATATATACCCTTTCAGGGTATATATTCAATGGTCCTACTATCGCTCCTGTATTGACAGATACCAACCAACACAGAGGCACACAGACCTCAGTAGGTTATATAGTACACACACAGACCCAGATGGTAGTATAGTAGACCCAGATATCCCCCCTCGCACACTGTGATCAGCTGGTCACACTCAGAGGTCAGCTGAGTCATGACGTCACGTATCTGGTTTGTCCGACCTTGAAATCTGAGGAATTTCCACATTCACCAGCATACAATACTGACGGTCAACTATATATCACTTGTGTAATTTCTTAAGTTGAATTCAAAGAAAAATTAATTTAAAATTATCAATAAAATTACTTATATTTGTTAAAATACAACACACAATAGTTACTAAACATGAAGGAGAAAATACATCTTCGAACATTGAATGTATGTTCGGTGAGGTACGTTCTCGAGAAAAATCGTCAGTTTACTTTATCGTTAGATATAGGATAGTTGTAGGTGTGTGAGTAGTAGGTCTAGTGTTATGTCTAACTACATAGAGCTGTTATCATAGACGAAAATTTACCAGAAACAGCTTTCGTTTTTAATGTTTCTATTTCTCTTTAAATTAACGGAACTAGCGGAACTGTACACTATTAAGAATTCTAATTCAGAAAAACATTATGGATGTACGGGTTAGCACGCGATTTAATATTGTTTATTGATTTATCAACGGCAATACACCAATTTACATAAGGTAACTAACTTGATTCGGTATTGTGAGTAAAAACAGTACAAAAAAACATTACATTTTCGTATGGAAAAATTAATAGTCCCTAAACAAACGGTTGAAGCGGTGTTTGTATCAAAATGTAAAATTTGAAACTTTATAAATCAAATTGCTTATATTTACATCATTAGTTATATACATCAAGTTGGTATAAATCAAAACAATGCCCTTTGTAATGTTGATCCTAATGGTGATGAATGTAAATACACTGGACGCCTGATTTTTACAGTAGACCAACTACACACATAAAACCAGCT